TAGTAAACCTACCTTATTGTAAGTGTTATGTCTATATTGTACAATTATTTTTACTTTGAAGTCGGTGTCAGTCAATGTAGATTCATTACGTAATTGTTACTATACTTTCAATTGTCAATTGTTATGGTAGAAATATGGAAACCCTTACGTAGAAATATCACTGCATACCTTGGCTGACACCGACATCACAGTAAAAATAATTGTACAATATAGACATAACACTTACAATAAGGTAGGTTTACTATTTTCAAGGAATTATTTCGTTACTTTTTAGTGTACTGTTTTTTTTGAGAATATTTTGTTTTTGGTGTATTTTGTTTTGTTTTTAGTGCATTCTGTTTTGTTTTTCGTGTATTTTAATATCAGTATAGAAGCATAGATATTAATGTCTTAAACTAGCTTTTGCCCTCGACTCCGTCTGCATGGATTTAAAAAAAGTAAGGAACTTTAGTGTTCTTCCAGACTATCCTCTACATCTATGCCAAATTTCAACGAGATCCGTTCAGCAGTTTAGACTACAAACACTAACAAACATCCATGTAAACTTTCGCATTTATAATATTAGTAAAAAGTTAGGTGTAAGAGTTACGTCATCAGTTAGAAAATAAATGCACGTGACATTATTTCTGCCTCCCCCCTTAGCAGAGGCAGTTACCTCCCCTTTAAAGCCACTAATTATGGAATCCCATTTACAGACATATACCAGAAAGTGTTAAGAAGAATGTGGATGGCTACAAAGGTAGAGGAAGACCGAAAATGGGGTGTGTGAAAGAGGATATGCTTAAGAAAGGAGTGGATTCAGATATGACGGCTGATAGATATATATGGAAGAGTACATACTGTGCCGATCTCCGTAAGGGATAAGGGCAAGTTGATGATGAATTTTGAAATTCCATTTAGCGGTGTATTAGTGTTAAAAGCAATTCCAGTGATAAAAGCTTTAATCAAATTGATTGTATAATTACGTTACTTACCTTTAAAGTGGACATGCGGTCATGCAATAAAACTATTTACACTAGGGTTGTAACGGAGGCCATTTTAACGGAAGCGGATGCGGATGCGAAGGCGAAGGGCTTCACCTCTGCAGAAGCGGAGGTTAACGGAAACGGAAGTGGATGTCAATAATAAAATATTAATTGCGATTTATTAAACATATAAAAACTGAAACTACGTTAATTCAAAATACAGATTGGTACATAATTACAAGATGCAGTTTATTATGCAAATATAATGTATAACAATTATAGTTGGTTGACATATCACGCCCGCGCGGGCCGCATAAACCATACCTAATCGCTCTGCTCGCGTTAAAGACGTAAATTAACCTCTGTTATAACTCCGCATGGAGTTATCATTTCTTACGGAAGTTCCGCACTTGCGGATGCGGAAGCGGAGTTCCGTTACACCCCTAATTTACACTAATGTTTACTGCTTATAAATTCGTGCACAATACATTATTATGTTATGCTAAAATCAGCAATAAAACGAGCATATGCCATGACATAAGAGATGCTACCAAACAAGCTGTTTTTTTGTTGTTAAAAGAATGGTTAAATGGTCCATTATATTAAAGCTCTAACTACCGAATGTTAATTTTTACTTAAGCTAAATAGTTAACATTATTAATACAAATAAAAATCACATATTAAAGTTGTATTATTAATAATTGCCACATTTACAGCGTGTGAACAATATACACTAAGGACTCCATTAGTTAGCATTTAACTTCATTGCGTCAGTTAACTCTATCCACTATTTTCACCAAGGGCGGATCCAGCTGGGGCCAATGGGGGGGAGGTCACATAGTCGTGGTCAAGTCAAGAGCTTGACAAAATATATTTACATATTTTATACGCCGATTCGCCGTTGATCCTCACCTGTCCACCATCCTTGAGCTGCAGGTTGACGGAGAACTTGCAGGAGACCTCGTTGGTGGTGAGAGTGAACTCCTGGCTGCCGCTGACCAGCTCGCGGCTGGAGTGCGAGGGTAGTGAGGGGTCGCTGATGAGCCTCAAGCTGTCCAGCGCCTTGGGGTCGTCGCTGATAGGACCAGGGTAATCCTCCTTAACCTGAAAGTATAAACAATATGTAGTTTAGTTTTTTGAACGAAATAAAAACTAACCAAGACGAACGGATCTCGATGAAATATGGCATAGATGTAGAGGATAGTCTGGAAGGACACATAGGTTGAACTTTGGCATTTTCTAATTCCACGCGGACGGAGTCGCGGGCGAAAGCTAGTCTGGGATAAACTAGAGTTTATGATTCGTTTTGCATTTGCGTGATATCAAAAAGCATGCAACCGATATTGTTATTAAAATATTCCGATGTTTACCTGTCCCGGTACTTTAGGCACTTTAGCTACGAGGAGTCTGGTGGTGGGCACGCCGGGCATCACGCTGATCAACGCGCCGGCCTTGCCTGAGTAGATACCAGACCCTGAAAAAACAAATCTAACTTAGGTAAACTTAGTTAACTATATAACTAAATTTTAAATGCGAAAGTTTAGATGGATGGATGTTTGTTGGAGTTTGTAGCCTACACTGGTGAACGGATCTCGATAAAATTTGATAAAGACGTAGAGGATACTCTTGAAGAACATATTGGATACTCACTTTTGTTTTTTTAATTCCACGCAGACAGAGTCACGGGCGAAAGCTAGTACAGTAAATGAATTGAAGTGGATTACATGCTGATGAGCTAATTAAAATCCCTTTCCCTTACCACCCTTTTGTTATAAAAAAGGTAGGAAGGGAAAGTGGATTTGATGGTGAAGGAGACTCATAGGAAAAGGAAATTTCCTCTTTATGTGCGTCTCCTCCTCTGAAAATTTAGGATAGGCAACGCATTTACAATTGCGGATGTCTATGGGCAGCGGTCGCTTCGCCATTTTGGCGGTTTCATGGCCGCTTACACCTTTGACATCTTATAATATGAAAAAAAATAAAGTGCCTATAATTTCAAAAACAAAACATTCTGAAATCAAAAATCTTTTCTCAAAAAAAAAACAAAGGAAATTTGATACTGGCCACAAATAGATTTTTTTAAAATAATTATAAAAATGTTACTAACCAGCACTGCCCACTCTCACGTTGTTAGCGCCTGATGCTAAGAAGTTGACGTTCATAGCGTAAGTATACGCCTCTTGGATTTCCACAGCTGAAATATAGAATTATATTAACTTGTTATAGGACAGAAAAACCAAAAAATTATAACTAAAACATGCTAAAAACTAGTCGGTGCAGCCACCAGAATAATAGACGTGAGTGCTAGCAGTTAAATAGTTAAAACATACGTTATCCTACTTCTTACTTCTTACTAATATTATAAATGCAAAAGTTTAGATGAATGGATGTTTGTAAGAGTTTGTAGCCTAAACGGATGAACGGATCTCGATGAAATTTGGCATAAATGTAGAGGATAGTCTGGAACACATACAAGGCTACTCAGTTTTTTTTTTAATTCCACGCAGACGGAGTCACGGACAAAAGCTATACCTATAATAGTATTATTTCTAATGGCAATCTCTAGCGAAACCTACCAGTTAAATACGGCATCTCAGAGAACCACATGGTACTGAAGATCACATCAGTGAGGTTATGTTTCTGCACGACCTGGACAGCCGGCACTTGGAACATCAGATCGAAGCAGATGTAGTGGCCAAAGGTGACCCCGAAGTCGGTACTGAAGATGCCCAGCTCCGGCTTCAAAGCTGGTGTACGAGTGAACTCGCCGAACAAATTTATCTTACGGTAACTGAAAGGAAGACACATGTTTTTACTAATATTATAAATGCGAAAGTTTGAATTGATGTTTGTTAGACTTTACTGCCTAAACAGCTGAACAGATTTCGAAGGAAGCATAAATGACTCTACGTTCTCTCTACATTCATATAATCTAGTAAAAAATAGGCAAGAAACAGCCTATTTGTATTAGTATTTTCGGTTTGAACACTTAATTAAATGCGTTTTCGAACTATATAACTCGAGTTTTACTCCGTTGAAAATTAGTTCAACCTAACACTTATGGATCACTAGGTAATCTATACTAATATTATAAAGAGGAAAGTTTTGATTTTTGTCCGGTCTAATTTAAAAAAATGTATCAACATTAAAAAGCTACGTTATTATTGAGAATATAGGTTATATTTATTTTAATATAACGAGGACGAAATCGCAAGCAACAGACTAGCGAAATAAATGGAAACTGGAAACCCAGCATAAGCATAGGCTGACGATGCAATGAAGCAACTCACCGGTCTATAACAGCGCCGTTTCTATCAAACACAACGTTGGTATTAAATAGGTATTCTTTCTGTTCAGGGCAGTATTCCCCGGGCGCGTTGCTACAGTCCATCACTTCTTGTACGTTAATGACCACGTAGATTAGATGCTCACGGGCCGCTGCGGATATTGAGACTAGAATCTGAAAGAAGTTATTGTTATTAGTTCATGCTACTACAATTCGTGTTAATCTGTCAAAGAATATGTTTTGTCCAAAGACATATAAATCTGTACTATTATAATAAAGCGTAAATACACACTTCTTTGTTGACTAAGATGTCAGCAATTACAGCATGTTTTTGAATAATCCTTTCTGTAATAAAAAGCCCTACACATACGTCACGCTTTAGGCTGTATATTTTCACTCCGTTAAACCTAGGGGTAAAGGTTTTGGATAAAAACCCTAATGTAGGAAAGAGACCATAAGTTGCTGCCAACATCAAGAAAGCAAGATTGCTAAGGTTTGACATGTCATGTCATTTTGACATTTGCTATTGATAATATGACACATGTAAATAATAAAATAATCTTTTCACAATTTCATGCGGATGAAGCCGCACGAGAACAGCTAGTAATGTATAAACGAGGCGTAATTGTGAATAAAAAATTTCGTCGGTATTTTCTTTGAAAGGTTAAGTTGTCTAGTTTAGTAAATAGATAGCGTGAGTTTATGATTATGTGAAAAATGCGTCAGATGAAGTGTCAACTATGCCTTCTCTATATATTTAAATCTCTTTGGTATCGTCAAACAGTATGTCCTGTAGTGATCAAATTTTCGTCGTGTTCTGAAGTCGTTAATAAATAATTCTGGTCCAAAACTTGTTATTTTGTGTATTCATAATATTATACTTGGGATTCCTTTTTACATTATTGTTAGTTACGTTATCAACTGTCATAAAGTATGTAACTCAATAGTACTTAGTTTATCAATTTCGCTAGACTCTAGTGCAACATTGTAATGCCTATTTGTTAAAGAAAATATTACTGGTACTTTGCTGGTAATATCCACCGTGGTAAATAGACTAACATCATAAAATACACGTAATATTACTTGTTAATACTCACTTCGTCGTATAACTCAGGGTTCAGAGCTGGTATGGGTGTGGTTTTGAGGATTCCGTGTACAGGAACCAGTATACGACGCTGCCCTCTCGTGAGTGTCATCTCCGGGAAAACTATTATATCTGCATTCTGAAATAATAACGTTAAAATTAATTTTGTGCTCGTAAGTTACTTTTACGATAGGCGCTGCACAAAATATCGTGATTCGTCGATACGGATACTGTCACTCAAAAGTTTAGTGTTAGGTCCTCGTGAAAAGATTGTAAGAGTGTGGGGGATAGGGAAGACAAGCGATAAACGCTACAAGAAAGCTACTTTTAGTAGTAATGAATTGTGTTTTTTGTTTCAAATCTATACTAATATTATAAAGAGGAAAGATTTTTTTGTATCTATTGAAATAACTCAAAAACTACTGGACCGATTTTAAAAATTCTTACACCATTGAAAAGCTACGTTAAAAGTGAGAAACATAGGAACATGTACTATTTTTTTAAAGTTCTATACGGACGATGTCGCAAGCTACAGCTAGTCAAATATAAATTTGGTTTGATGGATTATCCCATTTTAATTGTTATATTATTCACCTGTTCCGCGGCCTCTTTTATCAAGTTAACATAGTTTTGTAAGTTGGTAGATACATTTGTGTTGACCTCGTACTCCACCACGGCGGCGACGTAGCTGTCATCTTGGGGGGTAGATTTCTGAAAATGTAAACAAAAATATTTTACTTTGTTTTCTTTCAAAAGATAAACTTACATCCACATCCAACTTAACTATCGAGATTGAATTATGCCGTAACACACATAAAAAAAATAATAAAAAAACATACAGACAAATTGAATACTTCCTTCTCTTGGGAAGTCGATAAAAAAATTAACAAAACATTTGATATTTACTTTTTAAACCATATTTATCAGAGGTTAGTTCAAAGGTCTTTATAATCTAAAATAATGTTTGAATTATAATATTGGAATAAATTAATAAACTGATTTGGTCTAAATAACCTATTTTACAATTAACATAACTAATAATGTAGATAATTTACCTGTTCCGAGTAAAAGACGAGACAAAGAAACAGAGTCGACACAAACAATCTCATTGTTCAAGGGAAAATACACTTTATTTGTATACTGTTAAAGGTAACTTTTACATTAGAGGTACGATCACAGAGTTCAAATTCACTCGTACATGTTTGTGTACAAGTATTTACTGCACGGAGTCCCGTATAGAACTGTCTGTAAGTTGGCTGATGCGAAGACAACATAAATATAAATCAACCTTGGACTTCAACACATGCGCAGTATCCATTGAAGTCGCGACGCGGGAATTTTAAATCTTATCAACATTATAAATGCGAAAGTTTAGGTGGATTTTTGTTTGTAGTTTGTAGCCTAAACTGCTTAACGGATTTCGATGAAATTTGGTGTAGATGTAGAGGATAGTATGGAAGAAAACACAGGCTACTTACTTTTAGTTTTTTTTTAATTCCACGCGGGCAAAAGCTAGTTGGAAAATAATTTCTAGCTGTACATTCTGTCAAAACTGTGGGTAACGTACAAAAACATGCCATCTCTGTCATTCACTTTGAATAGACAACTATATATCAACACAAGTGTTACAGTATTTCACGGTTAATTTTATTTTTTAAGTTAATCGAAAGTATCAAATACCATTATTATGAAATAAGGAATATTAAAATATTAAAAAGCGAAAGATTAGATCGATAGATGTATCGATTATTGAATGTTTCTTACTAGAATCAGAATGGTATAACGGATCTTAATGAAATTTAGCACAGATTTAAAACACAATCTGGAAACACATAGGATACTAAAGATACTAAGTTTTTAAATCCACGAGAACGGAGTACATGGCGACACTTAATTATTTAATACTAGCTTTAGCCAGCGACTCCGTTCCCGTGAAATTAAAAAAAAAACAAGCACCCTATGTGTTATTCCAGATTATCTTCTACATGTATACCAAATTTCATAGAAATCCATTCAACAGTTTTGGCTACAAACTCTAACATACATCCATCTAAACTTTCGCATTTATAATAATTATTTAATATGTATTATTAAAAACAAAGTTCACAGACCTGCAAAGAAATCCCGAATAGACACGATATAATTAACAATAATGTAGGAGACATGATCACGTTTGCACGAAACATGATGCGTGATTCAACTTATGATAAACAATAACCATCAGAGGTTATGTACACTTTATATATTACACATAATCGAGATATCTGCAGATTTATTTCTTATCAAAATTCTCATTTACACGCTTAAGAACGAACATTTCCTTCGTTAGGAATATTGATAAAGCTTAGTACACAATATTTTAAACGCACAATTTTTTTTTAACATAAATATTACACGAAAACTAAAGAACAAATAAGCATTATACATAATTCTATACAAAACTAACTTAATATCGAAATAAACATTTAATTAGTAGTTCAGGAAATTGTTAAATATCAGACAATAAGCCGTATGCATAAAAAATATAATTTTTATTTATAAAAATCTCATTTAGACAATGGAAACAAACATCACATGTCGCTGGGACACGGGATTTCACCGGAGTGCCGACTCATTCACTAACCAGTTACAAATAAACTGCACATGCAATTGTTTTATTATTTTCCTTGTATCTTCATACATAATTCGTGAAAACTTTGATAAACATGCACAAAGATACATTATTTGTAAATAGAAATAAAAGATTTTCATGTTTCCTATCAATACCACTTCTAATTACAAATAGCCAGTTCGGGCGATGTTGGATTACCAGCCAGGGCGCTAAACAAAAATGGCCGCTTAAAGTCTGTAAATTACATTGTTAACTTAAATGTAAATTGATAAATGAGGGCGTAGAAAACTCGGTACTGATTAAAAGTACGTGGGCTGAACTAAAAATTGTCCATCAGGAGAGTTAGTAATTTTAGCCACAAAAATTATCCAAAACAATTATTTTCCTTTAAATTACTAACTACGTATAATACAAAATTCGAATCCGTAGTAATCGAGTATAAGAAGTTTTATCGAAACCAATTTACGAAATATCTTTCTAATACTCGTAAACTACAAGTTTTCGAGATAAGTGTCCTCCCAGTCACGCTCCTATCTAACAATCAGATTTTATCAAATAATCCTAACTTTTGTTCCTTTGCTTTTTCTTAATTTTATTCTAAAATACCAAGTTTAAATAACTCTCGTTTTCACGGATAAAGCTTTGATAAACTTTGCCACAGATCTGTACAAATACACCTATAGAAACTCTTTTATATTTTTTTTAATAAAAAAAATATTTCGTCATCGGAAGAGACTGGCTGATAAGATTGTTATTTTGTATAACGTTTATCTCGTATGATACAATGATAGGATACAATTATAATTTTATCGTATTGGATTATTTTAATCCCTATGTTCCTTCCTATTTTTATAAATACCTGGAGAACCCTTTATCTTACAATATTGGTTTCTTGAACGATAACATTATCCACATTTTGTTCTTCATTCCGTTAAGTCTTTGTTAATCAACCTTTAATTGTATTTGTGACGTCACAATTCAATAAATCACTTGGCGTCATACGGTGTCAAATGTTTTATATTTATTATCTTTTATCTGATAATTCAATTGTTTTCGTATCTTTTCTTTGACCTTTGAGTCTTGAATGAATGTAGCATTTTTTAATTACCACCACGTGCCTAATATTATCGATTTTAAAATAAACAAGAATCCAGTTAGAATTTTAAAATTCTTAATGATGATTAAAATAATTGGATGAAATTAGAAACTTTTCTTCACAGTAATGTTCCAAATAAAGCAACGCCATCTAGATTTACATAAAGAAACTACCCTATAGTAAACTTTGTTACGAATGTCAACTGTCAAACAAATGACATTTGACTTTTGTTTTCTTTTCTCCGGAGTAAGGAGAGATTGTACAGCCAGTGACTTAGATGTTTGTTATTTTACGTTTTAAGGTTGGTATGAAATTAAAAATGATGTAAAAATGTTGCAATTTATTGAAATATGTACTGATTTATGTGGGCACCGCATTTGAGTCTCGCTGCGTGGATTGTTTGGAATGCTCGAGGTGGCTACGCAAACTTTGCGTGTTCAGTTTGTCTCTGCGGAGCGCCTGCGAGCGCGCACGTCGACGACCTACTTCTGAACGTAGCCGACCGGCTCCGCGACGTCGCTCAACGATTCCTGATGATTGAAAAAAACAATCAAATAATATGCAAAAATGATGAAAATCGTAGTTACATTACTCGTAACTAGCTAAGCTAATATTAAAAACAGAAAGAATGTATTCTTCTACGTATTGAAATAACTCAAAAACTACTAGGCCGATTTCATAAATTGTTTTATCATTAAAAAGCTACGTTATCAGTGACTAATATTAACTATATTGATTAATTTCACGCAGACGAAATCGCGAGCAACAACAACTTTTTTGATAAAAATGAATCAAGAGATATTGCTCTTCAAATTTAACAGGCGTTTCAAATCGCCTCATTTTTGTAATACGAGTATAAAACAGAGGATAGGAATAAGATATGGAATTGTATTGTGTAAAGATTAATTACTCACCTTCCCTGTCTATTTCAGTTGAACTTTTACCCCGTCGCCGCCTCCTTTCCTTGTCCCTCTCAAAACTTTCGAAGGATTCGCGGCTTGCCCGCATCACGTCTTGATACTGTTCCATGTAACCCTGGCTGAACATTGCATCCTCAAGTTTCTTCCCCAGCTTGCTGTCCAGAGAGAAGCCCAATGACTTCGTCAAAGGATAATCATTCATATTCAAGTCTTTTAACTTTGAAGCATTCACTGGATTCTGAAATAAGCATGTTATAGTTAAGGTTTACCTGTCAAACTTTGAAACGAATATCAAACACTTCGCTTCATTAGCCAATCTGACGTCATATTTTAATGGAATTTGGAGTGGTGGAACTATAGTTGTTTTAGTGTTTTGCCTTTGTAAATGTTTGTGTAACATTTCTAAATGTATTACAGTTACCGAGAAAGAAAAACTGTTTTACCCGGACATATTTCTGTCTTATAATAACACTAAATTAATATCGTGGAGTAATAACTATCCCTCGTAAATAAACCGCTTAAAAAATCAAAAATAGTTTTATTCGAAACGCGACAAATTCTTAAAAACGAATTTTCACTAGATCTACAGCTTTCCAGCAACATTAAAAAATTGTTAGAAATTCGTATAAGCAACAATAAAGCGTTTGTTAAAAATTAAACATACCACAGTTAACTCAACACATCGAGAAAGATATTCAAATTGAAAGTACACGTTTTAAAACCAATAGTACACCACATTGGAAATTTAATTGTTAAATTATATGAAGTAACTACCTCGATTAATAAAATTAAAAAGAACACAATTAAAACTGTAGCCATCACAGATTAAAAACTTTTCATTTAACAGAGCACGGTTGACGATGTGTGTAACTATATGGCGTTGTTGAAATCAGAGTGGCTCTTTAAAAACATTGTGTCCAGTATTGTCTCGGCCACAAACAATGGTGTTTTAACAAACTCCCAAACGTAACATCACAAACAGAACGAACAATATTGATCTCTGGCCCCCAAGCGAACAGTTCTGTGACAATTCTCAAAACGAAATCAACTTCTTTCTGATCAGAAATTTAGGTTATTATGCTCAAAATTATGATGTACACGAGATTTTATACGATTATAGTTGTAAAATGATTATGGTTATGTATTAAGAGGACGAAATTAATTAAAAAATTTTACACAGACAAAATGGTGGCTAAAAAGGCTCGGATTCAGACCTAAAAGAATCTTTTTTGGAAGTCGGTTAACAAGATTGGGAAGGGAACACATTTGCCTGCTCAATTAAAAGGCGCTAAATAAGAAAGTATTTGCCTTTAGAGCATTTAAAATCTTTCTCATTATTGTTATGGCCAAGATTGCTAGAGAAATTAGCAAACAGATGAGGACATAATTGGGGAACTTAGTTATTATGAAAGGAGCAACTAATTTACTTATATAAAAATACATAATTGTTAACAAATATTGGTAATGTTATAATAATTATACGGTTTGTAGAAGTGGGCAATATTTTATAAGTTTATCGCGGGTCAAATGGCTGGCACAACGAGGCGCGAAGGCACGCCACGAACCGCTTTCAACCGGTTCTCTTTAATCATATCTCCATTACGTATTGGCAAATGAGTCTATTTCGTGAACATTACAAACGTATGCAGTTTCCTAACATTTGTTTGAAATACATTTTATATACAATTTGTGTAGCTATTTTTAGCGCAACAATAAACACTTAGCTTTAAACAATTTTATATGTAAAATTACTTACATTTAAAGCGTGCAAAGGATGACTTTTCCCTGTTAAATCCTTAACTCACATGTAAATCACTACATACTCTTAGTTCATAGTTACCTTACCTTTGCTGCCATAAACAACATTAAATCCCGGTAGAATGAACTGAAAATATCTAAGTCTGCTTATCTATTTTTTCCGGACCGTCTCAGGATGACGTAATGATGTAGTGGTTCCAAGTCTAGCTCTAAGCCGTGGTGTGAACCTGAAAATGTGACTGTTATAGACAAGGCTTGCTGATGCATTCTAGTTAATTAAAATGCTAGAATTTTTTTACACAATTCATAGTAACGACCTTGGTTCATTATTCCTTCTATATATTGTTGACCATTTTACAGAGGATATTGTATCGTTTATTAGAAAGGCCTTATCTATTTACTGCGCTGCTCCCAATATTATTGTCATTGTTCTGTGCACGGCCTGGAACCGGTACGTACCGGATCGATCACCAGTTCGGTACACTATCTCTCTGTTTAAGTTCATAAAAATATACTAACAAAAACATATCCCAAGTCTTATCTAAAAGTCAGAGTTAAAAACAAATCTACAGAAGCTATTTAATTTAATAAATGGAATAAGAATATTATAAAACTAACCTAAAGCATATATTTAACCAAATTGATTGAGATCTTTTTGTCATAACCTTGCCTGGAGGACGAAAATCTATTGTGCCAACCTTACAGAAGTAGGATAAGAGGGGGAGGATAATAAAAACTTTTGTATTTATATTTAAACGCTAGTATATCATTGATTCAAAGATACAGACTATCCTTGCAACTTGTAAAGAATTTTAACGTAAAGGTTTCTATTGTTTTGTATAAAAACATAGAAGTAATCTTCATAAATATGTTTTTGTTTAAAACAACAATCGACTGCGGAAGGATCAAACTAAGTTTAGTATACTATGGAAATATGTACATACATGCTGGAACTGTTCAGTTAGTGATAATTTATAGAAGTTTTAAAATGAATGGTTTAAGTTATGGTAACCCCTGAAGATAATATTATCAAGACGCAATTATTAAAAAATAAACATTATCACATGCCATATGTGTAAAGTTAAAAATCTCTTAAAATAATTGTCATGCTTATGATGGTTACACGGCTGACTAAAATAATGTATTTTACTTATGTATGTCGATTGAAACAGTTGATATATTAATAAGTTGCAATTTGTAATGACTGTATTTAAACCATGCTAAACATATGTTTTAGGATTAATACGTAAAAATAAACCTATCTTTAATTTACTGCCACTGCTTGAAATATAAAATAACGTAAAAAAAAAACAAAAATATTGAATCTAAAATGTAGTGTTTTGTTTTCTTTTTCAAAAATGGCGCGTAATTGTAATTGGTAACGCTATTCAGTGGAAGACTCAAATTGACCAATCACGTTAAAACACTCGACAATGTAACAAAACGATTGGCTGAAACGATTTCGTACATTGGCAATTGATAACAAATGTCACGAAACGTCAAATTTATACGTCGTTTTGGCGGTTAGAATCACAATGAGTTGAATTATTTGTAGTTGTGAAATGATAAGTGATGTCAAGGTTGAGGTGATGCTGGAGACGGTTCGTTAAATACGAACGGAGCGATGGATTCAAGTTAGTTCGAACGGCATCCATCAAGAGGCGCGGCCGCACACACTTCTAGTTGATTAGACATTTAAAATGCCGCCAGTTGCTGTGCCCAATGAGGTAAATAAACCAATTATTCTTTATTAACACGTATATTTATTTATATAAAAGTGATGCAATTTTAACCTTACTTTTATCTGAATCAGTGATGATTTTATTGACATTTTCCAGGCACCGAAGAAGCAACTTCGAGTTGCTATCATCGGTCAGAGTACATTCGCTGCGGAAGTATTTAAATTGCTAGAGAAAGACGGTCACGAAGTGGTCGGTGTGTTCACAGTACTGGACAAAGGCAATAGAGAGGATCCACTTGGTATGTTTCAATTTATTTATATTCAGTATTCAATTCTATTTTGATGGCATACAATTCAAATTAACCACTTTTTATTGCTAAAACATATTTAAGGAAGAGTATGAAATACCAATGTTTTTGTGTGTTATTTTGCAGTGTGAATTAAATGTAATATTAGTTTTATATTTTATCCAAAATACAGATATTTATATTTTAAATGCAAATATGTTTTTGTATTGTTTTATGTTATAAATAATTTTATATGCATGGCTAAATTTATTTTGCATATTCAGACAATAGAGTACTTCACTATAGAAGTCCAAATCTATTATAAATAAAAATTTAATATAAATTGAATATGTTCTAATATTTTATTTATATTTATGTTAAACAATCTTATTCAGTTGAATGTTTCTTAAAATAAATTAAATAAAACAGTATATTTTAAACAATGACCATGGTTACTGATCTATGAAAGTCTATAAGATAAAAATAAATAAACTATTTAATAAACTAGCTTGCTAACATTAAAAAAAGTAACCTATGTCTTCCTCACTATGATTTACATATGTCTATGTCAAATTTCAACAAAAAAATGCCAATATTCTAACAAACATCTATGCATCCATCCATTTAAACATTTTCATTTATAATATTAGTGAAAAGTAAAGTAGCTTATGTCATACATATATAACTAAAACCTATTTTCCAATAACTTTTATAAGATTCTAATTAGAATTACATATACAAAAGTTACAATTGGCAATGTTTCTATTCTAGCAACAATTGCTGCACAGTATGGGAAGCCAGTGTTCAAATACAAGACATGGAGGGTCAAAGGGAAGGTCATACCTGAAGTATTGGAACAATACAAATCTGTAAGTTTTATTAGAAAGGTCTTTTTATAGATTTTTTTTTTTTGTGACTGAGTTGTCACTGTTTGCCTTGAAGAGGCATTTACAGATTCACCAGGCTTGAGGTGGCCCAGCGCAGATGGCGCTTAGCCTAAACCTCTTTTATGAGAGCTCGAGGGCTCCCTCAGGAGCCTCGGCTCGGGCCGTTACTTCGTTATTATTACTGGATTGGGACCTTTTTATAGAATTACATTAAAAATGTACAATGTTATTTTTGCAATTGTATGATCAAATTGTTGACCAATACTATTTTTAGTTAGTTTGGGTCTAAGTTCTACAGTAAACAATTGCGTCGTACTATTTTACAACTATCGCGAGTTTAAAGTCAAATTTAAATAAAATACTGTCATCTTTTTTTTGATCGTCTTCCCAAAACGAAGGAGGTACTCAATTCGTCTGTATATTTATTATTATTTTTTTTATGTGTGTTACAATATAGCTCCGCCGCTATTGGATTTTGATAATTCCTTTTTTTAATGAAGGGAACAGAGGGTATTGATCGCCTTCCCAAAAGTAGGTACTCAATATGTCTGTATATTTTACTTTACTGTTTTTTAATTAATTGGCGAAGATATAATATAAATGTTGAAAAGCCTGTTACCAGGCTGATAAGACACAATAGGTATATTTGAGTTTAGTGGAAATAAGAAATTGTATTTAGACATGCCACTGGCTGACAACATTTATTGTCTGTGACTTTATTTTAGAAAATATCAGTGTTTAAACGTGATTATAATTTTTTCTACTAGCTTTCGCGCGTGACTCTGTACGCGTGGAATTAAAAAAATACAAGTGAGTAGCCTATGTGTTCTTCTAGTGTATCCTCTACGTCTATGCCAAATTTCACCGAGACCCGTTCAGTCGTTTAGGCTACAAACTTTAAGAAACATCCATCCATCCATCTAAACTTTCGCATTTATAATATTTGTTTGTTAAAAAATTTACAGTTACTCTTTTGACTTTGAATAGTGACAATTTTTATACTCATTAGAATGTTGTATATCGTGCGAACTTTGAAATCACTTTATTCAACACTAGCTGTTGCTCGCGACTTCGCCCGCATGAAATTAAACATTAAGTTACTGATGTAACATAGCTTTTTACTGATGAAAGAATTTTTGAAATCGGCCCAGTAGTTTTTGAGTTATTTCAATACATTCATATAGATTATTCTATATTCCCTTAATTAACTTTTTTCCCACATTTACTTTAGATAAACACTCCATTAAATCGCTTTGTAAATTTCCATCTCGTTTATTCATAAATCTAAGTTATCTGGAACAAGAGTTGGCATGTCCAATGACTATCACAGACGTGTCGCGTGTTCCTCAACAATACCCACTGCACTCACGACCTCACTATCATAATCGACACCAATTTCTAACTAAAAGACCATTATATTACTTCCAGTTTAACAAATCATGGTGAACCTAGTCCTGAACTTTTTAGTAATCTACTAAACTATCGCATAACAGTTTAGTCTCGCTTTGATTTCTGTATGGAGGTTCTATTCGAATTTTTAGTTGTGTAACTAAACAGTTGAATGTGCTGCGAAACAATCGACAGTTGTGCGATAGTTCAGTCAAAGGTAACCCGCTCATAGGGTTTATAAAAATCGTTTATGTAAAGGGTTAGCAACGCATTTGTAGTTCGTCTGATATTTGTTTGATGGACATCAGGTTAGAAAATAGGTATTACTAACTGTTCCTGTGCGTCTTCATCCGCATAAAATTATGAAAAATTATATTTTGTTGTTTACATTTGTCAAATTACAAATAGCAAATGTCAAAATGACATGACGTGACAAACCTTGACAATCTTGCTTCCTTGATGTTGGCAGCAACTTATGGTCTCTTTCCCACATTAGGGTTTTTTTCCAAAATATTTACCCCCTAAGTTTAATGGCGTGAAACATATAGCTTAAAGCGTGACGTAAGTGTAGGGCTTTTTATTAAAAAAAGAGTTTTTCAAAAATATGCTGTAATTGCTGACATCTTAGGCAACAAAGAAGTGTGTGTTTACGCTTTATTATAATAGTGTAGATTAAGATAAAATTAATTGAGGTATTATTTTCTAATAATTTTAGATAATTAGATACATTATTTTATTGTTTTATTATCAATTTCATTTTTTATTAATGTTCAGTTATGTTGCGTGTATTAATGATTACATTGTATTCGACAAAAAGTGGCCAATTTGATGAATTACTTTGACCTTCTCGTATGTGTTTTGTATGGTTTAGGATTACTTCTCGTCAAAACTTATGTATAACAAAAACCACATATATATGACGTAAGAAAGTGCAATTTTATGCAGTTTTCGAAGTAAATTGTTTAAATGTTACCATAATAAAATAACTCAGAATTATCTATACTTCTATACTATTATAATAAAGCGTAAACACACAGTTCTTTGTTGCGTAAGATGTCAGCAATTACAGCATATTTTTGAAAAACTCTTTTTTTTAATAAAACGCCCTAAACTTACGTCACGCTTGAGGCTATATAATTTCATGCCATTGAACTTATTGGGTAAATATTTTCATGTAAACCCTAATGTGGGAAAGAGTCCATAAGTTGCTACCAACATCAAGGAAGCAAGATTGCCAAAGTTTATCATGACATGTCATTTTGACTTTTGGTATTGATAATTTGACACATCAAAATAAAATTTTCACAATTTCATGCGGATGTAGCCGCACGGGAACAGCTAGTTAAAATATATTGTAGAATAGTATAGCATAACATAAATAACTTGTCATAATAGCGATTAGATATTTTCTCAAATTTAATACTCGTGTAATTCCGAAGTATTCCCGTTTATAAAGACCTTATGTTAAAGGTTATTAAGATTTTTGCAATATATATTATTTATATAAACATAGATTATGGTATCGACAAGTCACAGATAACCCATAGTTTATCACCATGGTGTTGCGATGGAAGGAAAACTTACGATCATTATAAATTATGATGTGCTAATTTTATTTTAATATTTAATGTTAGGCCACCAATTGTTACCTTAAACATAAGATACCAGCTTATACCCACGACTTTGCGCGGAAATAAAATGACACTACGCAAGACATCTTCACTGCAAACTTTAACATTTATTATTACTAGCTGTTCCCCTGCGACTTCATCTGCATGAATTAAATAAAATCTTTATTATAATTGTTAAAATTTGTCAAATTCTCAATTGCAAATGTCCTAAAGCATGTCGAAAATGTAGGGCTTTTTAAATACAGATTATTTAAAAATATGCTGTAATTACTGACATCTTACGCCACAAAGCAGTGTGTCTTTACGCTTTATTATAATATTGTAGTATAGAAGTTATAGATGAAGTATGTTTTAATTCCTATTGCGATGTAATTGTTTATACAGAAATAAATAATAGTTTAAGATTTTTGAAATGTTAAAGAAAATATACAGAAATCAAGTTTGTGTTGATTTACATATATTTAAAACATATGTAAATGCAAAATATACGATAATAAGAATGACTATGCAATATCTAAAATGTCCAACATCCGTCCATATGACCTTGGTTTTTTAATACAACTCAAAGAAACATCGAAACATAATAATTATATAACCGCGCGTGTTAGACGCAATATATTTTCAACACGTTGGTAAAAAAGATATAACACGAGAAATGAGTCAACCAAAAAGAAACGTGCATTTTCTTACTGGGGGCTTATCAAGAATATTCGTGAAAACGTTTTTGTAACATCATCGACATTTTATTAGATTTGTACACCAAGAAATCTTAATCAAAGGATCACGTTAGAAAACATCTCACAAATATTACTGACTAGCTTTCGCCGGCGACTTCGTCCGCGTGGAATTAAAAAAAAACTAAGTAGCCTATGTGTTCTTCCAAACTGTACTCTACATCTATGTCAAATCCCATCGAGATTCGTTCAGCGGTTTAGGCTACAAACTCTAACAAACATCCATCCATCCATCCATCCATCTAAACTTTCGCATTTAGAATATTAGTAAGATAGACCTACATAGTAAAAAACGAAGTCGCGTCACGCTGTCTATCTGTACTTATGCTAAGATCTTTAAAACGCAATGGATTTTGGTCAAATTTTTTTATAGATAAAGTAATTCAATAGGAAAGTTTATATGTATAATGCATGTATTACAGTAGAGATATGATTATTGTAGAGGTTTCTTATGTAAAGAATACATTTTCGTATAAGCACCCGTACGAAGCCGGAGCGCATTGCTAGTCATTTCTTTTAATGTTTCATAGAAAGCATTTTATACATGAAGTATAGTTTTGTTGTAGAAACGGTTATTATAAAGGTAATTTTATAAAACTATTACAGGTGAATGCAGACATCAATGTGTTACCTTTCTGTTCACAATTCATCCCCATGGAGGTGATAATGCACCCCAAGTACCAGAGTATCTGCTACCACCCCAGCATCCTGCCCAGGCATAGGGGCGCGTCGTCTATTAACTGGTAAACATATTTTAATTACACCCTGTTTGTGCAGTGGAGGAAATTTATTTCCTACCCACAATAATTACTTAATCTCGATAATTATTTATGTTTTTTTATAGCATTTATGACAGTTTGTTGTAAAATTCCATCATAAGTAAGATTACTCATAATACTAGCTGTTCCTCGCGTCTTCTGTGTGAAATTGAAATATAATAAAAATATATCCTATATTACTAACTGATAACGTTAGATATTTAATCGTCAAATTTTTATAAAATCGTTCCAATCATTTTTGAGTTATGTCAATACATACAAAAATACAAATCATTCCTCTTTATATTAGTTTTGCTTCTATCCGTTTTAGTTTAATATAAGATTGCATATTGCATTACGTTAACCGGAGGAAGTGAAAGGAAATACATTAAGAATATGTCAATAATGATTATAGCTAATGTTGTCGACGTAACTCAGAATATACCCGAGACAATCTCTTTCTGTTACATTTTTAAATATCTATATAAATACTTGCTTTCGCCCGCGATGCCATCCGCGTGGAATTATAAAAAAAAAATTACAAAAGAGTAGCCTGTGTTCCAGACTATCCTCTACATCTATACCAAATTTCATCGAAATCCGTTCAGCGGTTTTGGCTATCCATCCATCTAAACTTTTCACTCTTGAATTTTAAAAATTGCAAATTTTTGGAAAATTTCTGCAATCAAAACTTATCCTTGGGAGTTAAACTTTATAATTTGTTAATAGGACATTAATAGAAGGAGACACGACTTGCGGTCTGTCAATCTTCTGGGCAGACGATGGTCTGGACACAGGTCCCATACTGCTGCAGAAGTCATTCCCTGCCACCATCGATGACACTGTTGACACATTGTACAATAAATACTTATACCCTGAAGGTAAGTTATTTTTTTATTCTATACTAGTTTTCGCGTGACTCTGTCCGTGTCGAGTTAAAAAAAAAACAAAAGTAGCCTATGTGTTCTTCCAGACTATGCTCTACATCTATGCCAAATTTCATCCAGTTCCGTTAAGCCGTTTAGGCTACAAACAAACATCCATCCATCCATTCATCTAAACTTTCGCATTTGTCGATTTTATACGAAAATATTAATTTATATTTTTCAGCGGAAACACTCGTAAAACAGACAATTTTGTGTCAAAAAAATATTGTCAAATTGATATATTTTGTTTGTGCAGTGAAAACCTACGTTTAATGTTATATCAGGTATCAAGGCTCTGGCGGAGTCAGTGAACATGGTGTCCAACGGCACCGCGCCCAGGATACAGCAGACGGAGGAAGGTGCCACTTACGATCCTGCACTCTTCAAGCCTGAGACACACCAAGTTAGTAAATACTATTACTATGAGGCTATTACTAACTGTAATAATATGTCTAGAGTACATATTACAATGTACTCTAGACATAACTTAACTACTAGTTACTACTTATCCGTGCGGAAATAATAAAAAAAGCATGTCCAGATTTGGTGAAAGAGATTTTTAAATAGATCCAATAGTTTTTGAGTTGTTTCAATAGATACAAATTTTTGACAACTAACTGACGTAGTAATTGGTTTTATCCGAAATTTTTGACTCTTAAAACAGCTAAGGGTGTTTAAAATTGATACATTTAATAAATCATCATTAGTAATATAAAATTAACAAAACCTCCAAATTCCCTTTCAGATAGATTGGTCTAAAGGTGGTATAGCACTACACAACTTCATCCGAGGTCTGGACTCCTCGCCGGGAGCCACCACCTACATCAAAGGTCAGAATAAAGAAGGTGTTGAGGAGGATGTGGAGGTGAAATTCTTCGGCTCCTCCCTCTGGCAGGCGGAGTACGAGGCTGGTGGAGACACGCTCGTCATCCCCGGCCTTGACACACCCGCTGTTATACATGACGCAGGGTTACTTATTACCGCTAATGATGGTGTTAAGGTAATCTTAAGTGTTATTCTTAACTATGGACAAATCTTTATGGATATGTCATTTAAATCTCGTATTTAATAGTGATTTTAAAAATGTGTCTTTATGAGATAGTTAACAATAATATGCCTGCCATTAATAAGAATTAGAAGAAAGAATGAAGAAAGAATGCTTTATATCCGACTCGAAGGACCATTTCCGTATTGTCTTTGTGCCGTCTCATTATTAAAATTTCCTTTTATTTTATGTATTTTTAACGATTACAAATAGAGATGCATTATTATGTTTTATTAAACCAATTATTTTCCCCCGTTTTCAGTTAAACGTTCAAAGATTGAAAGTGAACGGTAAAATGATAAATGCGCAGAATTTCTTCAAAGCGAACGAATCCAAGGTATCTCTAGAATTAACTGCAGAAGAGAAGCAGTTCGTAGAGGGCGCTCGCGACGTTTGGAAAGCGATACTTAGAATTGACATAGAAGATGAGACTGACTTCTTCGCGTCAGGCGCCGGCTCTATGGACGTCGTCAGATTGGTAGAGGAAGTTAAAGATTTAGCAAAAATTGAACTGCAAAACGAAGACATTTATATGAACACGACATTCGAGGAGTTCTGTCAAATCGCAGTTTTAAAATCTAGGGGAGGTTTGGATAAAAAGGAGATAGTCTACGATGGGGTTGAAATGGAAGTGAATAAAATGAAGATTAAATTCCCTACACAGTTGTTTATAAATGGAGAGTTCGTTAATTCTGACAGCGGCAAGTTATTGACGATTGTGAACCCGTCAGATGAATCAGTTATCTGCAAGGTGCAGAGTGCGTCTGAGGGTGACGTCGACAAGGCGGTTAAGGCTGCTAAGGTCGCCTTCGAAGAAGGAGAGTGGTCTAAAATTAGCGCCAGAGAACGAGGACAGTTACTCTTCAAGTGAGTATACAATTCTATATTAATTTAGTAAGGAGGGTATTATAATTAAGAGTAATTTGTCTTCTATAAATTTTACTATCTCTTTTTCGCTTTCCTCGTCTCTCTCCCTTAGCGTAGGGAAATAGAAATAGAACGAAAGACCAACTTTTTATGTCTTCCTTCATCACCATCCTTCGCTCTTTCTGTCTATTTTTGTCTTTCTTTTTTCTCCCTTACCGCCACTAACTCTTTCTCCCTTACCATTCCTTGCTCTCCCTCTCTCTCTCTCTATTCTGGCGTTTCCTTTTCTCTCTACCTTACCATCCCTCGCTCTAACTCTCTCTATTTTCCTTTCTCTCCTTTACCATTTCTCAATTTCTTTATGTTTCTTTGGCTGCCCAAAAGAATTCTTTCTTTCTCTATTTCTCTGAACTGCCAACAATTCCCCACAGACTAGCCGACCTAATGGAGCAGCACAAAGAGGAACTAGCGACGATAGAGTCGCTGGACTCCGGCGCGGTGTACACGCTGGCGCTGAAGACGCACGTCGGCATGTCCATAGAGACGTGGCGGTACTTCGCCGGCTGCTGCGACAAGATCCAGGGCGCCACCCTGCCCGTCAGCCACGCGCGCCCCAACAGGAACCTCGCCCTCACCAAGCGCGAGCCCATAGGCGTGTGCGCCCTCATCACCCCCTGGAACTACCCCTTGATGATGCTGTCCTGGAAGATGGCGGCCTGCCTCGCTGCAGGGAATACTGTCGTGATGAAACCGGCCGCGGTTAGTATTACTGAGTTATTTGTTAATTGTATTATCGGGTTTTATCTGTATTTTTGTACGGTTTTTATAGATGAAAAATTTATTACTTTGACCAAAAATTCCAACTGTAATCAAAGATATTTTTTTTCTATGTTATTTGTAGTATTAGTAAATCTTATTTTTACTAATAAAAAATAACTTTAACAGTGGTAGAGCCAGTTTTAACATTTTCGCACGAATGTGCCACCTCTCCCCCAGCAATACCACGACCACACAGAAAACAGGCGTGAAGTGGAAGCAATTCCGTGTTTCGTCTGATGAGTGTGGTGCCAGGGGCCTAATTTAAGTCCCTTTCTTTTTACCACCATTTTCTTATAAGGAGAGGTTGGGAAGGGGAAGTGGATTTGACGGTGGAGGAGATGCATAGAAGGGGAAATATCTTTATGTGCATCTTCTCCGTCGTATAAGGGTAGACAACGCATCTGCAATTGTAAATGTCTATGGGTGCGGTCGTTTCGTAATTTTGGCGAATTCTAGTGGGCGCTTGCCCGTTTACAACCTTAAGTTATAAAAAAAAACTTATTTATACAAGTGTGGTACAGGTGTGTCCGTTGACCGCGCTGAAGTTCGCGGAGCTGTGCGCGCGCGCCGGCATCCCGCGCGGCGTCGTCAACATCCTGCCCGGCTCGGGCGCGCGCTGCGGGCAGGCGCTCGCTGACCACAGCCTCGTCAGGAAGCTCGGCTTCACCGGCAGCACTGAGATCGGTATACCTACTTAACAATCATTGTAACTCATCATCATCACCAGCTCACTATACGTCCCCACCGAAGAGGTCAGAGCTCTAAGTACTGGTGACTAGGCCATAGTCAACCACGCTGCACTGCGGGTACCGTGACTTCACACATATCTTTGTATTTCTTTGAATTTCCGTCACCGTAAAAACGTCAGGTAAATTATGTACACATGAAAATTCGAAAAAATCGAAAATCACATTGGTACATGGCGGGAGTCGAACCCAAGACCTGTAGATTACAAGTCAAGTGCCAACCACTGAGCCACCGACGCTCGTAATAAAAATAATTGTAACTAGCGATATTTAAAAACACGCCACTAGAGAACTGGCCAGGAATGTGCGCGAATCAATCCTTCTAATGACATTGACAGCTGTCAGCTAGGGATGTGACATTTAAGTCTATAATCTAGTGTTGCCCGAATTCTAATAGTAAAAATCTAAAATCGAAAAGATTCATACCTGATTTTACATAAACAATCCCTACTAAATTGTCAATTATCATCTTCATTTGGATTTGGTAACAGTGGTAGTGCCCACTTTAACATGTTAGTAGTGCAGGGCCGGTACGCCCCCAGTAATACCACGACCACACAGAAGACAGGCGTCAAATGGAAGCAATTCCGTGTACAGTCTGATGAGTGTAGTGCCGAAAGCCTAATTTAAGACCCTTTCTCTTTACCACTCTTTTCTTATAAGGAGAAGTTGGGAAGAGGAAGTGGATTTGACGGTGGGAGAGTTGCATAGGAAGGGGAAATATCCTCTTTATGTGCATCTCCACCTCCGTCGTATAAGGGTAGGCAACGTATCTGCAATTGCGGATGTCTATGGGCAGCGGTCGCTTCGCCATTTTGGTGGTTTCAGGTGGCCGATTGATCGTTTGCAACCTTATGTTATATAAAAACAATAGAAAAGCACATTTTTACAATTATATTATTGTCAAAAAATGCTATTTGAATCTCTTGCGATTACATAAATCTTTTTTTTTTTAAATTAAATATGCTAAAATCCTTTATAAAGACTTTATGAACTTGAAATTCCGATTTTTACAAACATAATTTCTAGTTATCCGTGTTTTTTAGTGTAATTTAAATTAATTTTATAGTGTTTTTGTTTAAATTTTAATGTTTCAGGTCAAACAATAATGCGTTCCTGTGCGGTGTCCAATTTAAAGAAAGTATCACTGGAGTTGGGCGGAAAGTCGCCGCTCATCATATTTGAAGACTGTGACCTTGATAAAGCCATCAGAAATGTAAGTAAACTATAGAAAAACGTTATTTAATAACTATCAGCCTTACAAATGAAAACGGTAAAAAATGAATATAAGCAAATATTGGAAAAAAAGTAATTATTTTAAGAAAAATTACCACAAAATTAACCTAATGTACATTTATTTACATAATAAACACAAAACAGTAAAGTACATAAATAAGTATGAAAGCAAGTCTGTAGGGTAGTTTGCTTTTTAGCAAATTGTTCAGCTACCCTCCGTACTAGTATAAAAAATTAATCCAAATATTAGTACTAATGTTTGCTTATACTCAGTTTATTCCAAAATGTATTTTTACACCATATTTATTTGTAAGGCTGTAAGACTTTACAAGGTCTGTGCGAGCGAGACACATGCATGAAAACGACAAAGATAGCAATTCTATACTAATATAATAAAACGTAAACACATAATAGCAGATATCAGCAATTACAGTATATTTCTGACTTTTTTTTATTCAAAAACACTAAACACTAGCACAAATGTAGAAGATAATCTGGAAGATATAGGTTAATTACTTTTTTACACGCGGAAACTCACGGGCTAGTAAAATAAAGTTTTTATACGAAGATAGATATTTATCTGATGGGTTTCCTAGGGTATGGCGGCAGTATTCTTCAACAAGGGCGAGAACTGCATAGCGGCGGGCAGGCTGTTCGTGGAGGAGCGCATACACGACGAGTTCGTACGCAGAGTCGTCTCTGAGACCAAGAAGATGGTGATAGGAGACCCGCTGCACCGCGGCACCGCACACGGACCTCAGAACCACAAGGCACATATGGATAAACTTATTGAGGTATATCTATACTCTTTGTTAAAATTAGACTGTATGTTGCCCCCCTTAAAGACTACAAAACTAAACATGAAAACTACAAATTCGACTCTTTTAATGAGAGCTGTCCCTTCACTATCTAAAGCTCAATGCGTTTTTTTTAATTTTCGATTGTGTGACATATTTGTTTAGGATAAAAAAATCAAACAATGGGACCCACTTGCAGGCATTATCTTTCGGATAAAAAAAGAATTATCAATATCGGTCCACTAGCGGCGGAGTTATGCCGTAACACACATAAAAAAAAATTAAAAAAAAACATGCAGATGACTTGAGTACCTCCTTCTTTTGGGACGTCGGTCAAAAAGGGATTTTTACAAGAAAATTTTATCTGACGGATAATCTGCAAGTACACATAGGCTACTTACTTTTTTTATTTCCACGCAGAGTCGCGGGCAAAAGCTAGTAGGCTAATAAAGGAATTATGAATGTTTTAACACATTTTCCTGTTGACCCAGTTCTGCGAGCGCGGCGTGAAGGAGGGCGCTACGTTAGTATACGGCGGCGGGCGCGTGGCGCGGCCCGGATACTTCTTCACGCCCACCGTGTTCACGGACGTACAGGACCACATGTACATCGCTAAGGAGGAGTCTTTCGGACCTATTATGATTATCAGCAAGTTTTCTAGCAAGTTAGTATTAAAAATATATATTTGGGGACATAACTTCATTCTTAACTGAAGATAGATCTAACAGTGGTAGAGCCCGGCGGTAGGGCCTGCTCGCCCCCAGTAATACCACGACCACACAGAAAACAGGCGTGAAGTGGAAGCAATTCCGTGTTCTGTCTGACGAGTGTGGTGCCGAAGGCCTAATTTTAGTCCATTTTACTTTCCATCATTTTCTTAAGAGGAAGGAATGGGAAGGAAAAGTGGATTATAGGAAGAAAATAGGAAGGGGAAATGTCCTCTTTATGTGCGTCTCCTCCTCCGTCAATGAAGGGTAGACAACGCATTTGCAATTGCGGATGTTTATGGGCAGTAGTCGCTTTCCATTTCGGTGGATTCAGGCCGCTTGCTCGTTTGTCACCTTATATAAAAAAAAAAGATATTTAAGAAACATATGTTATAATAAATAAAATTTTCTCACAGGTACTTTCTCTGAAAGGCACTATAGTTACCAAGTTTAGGGCAATCTCGTGTTATATTTACAAGTAATAAAGCATATTACTAAATTATAATAAACTCCACTTTTTCTTACTCTGCTAAGACTAATTACAAGTTATCAGTGTTTGTTTTGTTTTATTATTTTTTAGTAAGTTAACTGAAAGTTATATATATCTATACATATAATAAAATGGAAGTGTCTGTCTGTAATATCAAAAGAAAATTCCAGATTTCGAGATGATGTATTTACGTTGCTGATAACGAAAATCGTATTTAAAACATTTTTGTCTGTCTGTCTGTCTGTCTACAAGCCGCGTTTTTCGGGTCAAATCCGAAACGGCTGGGCCGATTTCGGATTATTCTCAACCGTCACTTACTAAAACTAATTCTATTCCCCACGTGGGGACAGATGAGAGAAATAGTTTCATCCGTCCCTCCTTATGCGACGAAGGGACGGTTGGAACTTATTTCATAACGTTTTCATCTGTCACCTTATTGATGATAATGGGACTAAAGGATGGATGAAACTTTTTATTCTCACTGAAGGGCTAGCTGAGAAGGGCATATTATAGGCTTATTTATCTTAATGCGTAAACGAAGTCGCGGGCAACAGTTAGTCTATAAAATAAAATCTGGTATTTTAGGAACATAGATGAGGTGATGCGTCGCGCGAACGCTACGGAGTACGGTCTGGCGAGCGGCGTGTTCACGCGGGACGTGTCGCGCGCGCTGGCCGCCGCCGACAGACTGGACGCCGGCACTGTCTTCATCAACACGTACAACAAGACGGACGTCGCTGCGCCCTTCGGAGGATTCAAGCAATCCGGCTTCGGGAAAGACCTAGGTATATACTAGTACTAAATCTTGGAAAAACTAAAAAACAACCTCTAAGCAAAGACCGTATGAATCGAGATTTAGAATTAAGAATGAGTTCTGATATACACTTGTCAAACTCAATTTCCGTGACAATTCCGTGAAAATTAAAAAAATAAAAAAAAATACATGCATATTCCCTATGCATGTATTTTTTCTCTTTTTTTAAACGATTCTACTTGTTATAAAATAAACGGAAAAAAAATTGACGCGAAAATATTCAACTATTGAGCTAAAAATAATAAAATAACATTACGACTATTTTCGAACGACTAAAACGCGACCGGAGTTGTCAATAGACAATTGACGTCAATCGTCTGATTCCATTCATAAAATACGCTCAGATGTCACTTCGACGTAAAACACAACAAAGTATCTCAAGGTCGAAAAGTCAAAAATCGATTCATTTTTATTATCCCTGGTACAAAGTGGTAATTTTTACACAGTTTTGGCTGGTAATATCTCTTTGATCAATTTCCTAGTACAGGAATATTTTTTTATGTTTTTTCCTTTTTTTCAGGTCAAGAAGCTCTCAACGAGTATCTCAAGACGAAATGCATCACCATTGAATATTAAATAAGATTGTTTTGTTTTATTTTTCTATTGAAATGTATTTTTTTTTATTTGTATATATGTATATATGTATAAAAAATTGGTTATGAATCAATGATATATTTGTATGACTGAGAAATCTTTAACGCCTTTTCCACTGATGCAGAAGCACCAGTGGAAATAGACACATCTTGAATAAATATTTTTTTTGTATATAAAATTCGTTTTTCTTGATTAATCCTAATATTATAAATGCAAAAGTTTAGATGGATGGATGTGTTTGAGTTTGTAGCCAAAACTGCTCAATGGATCTCGGAGAACAGCCATTAGTTGTCTTGTCCAATGGGACAGTTACGCGCTATCCAAGCTGAAGTTTAAAAAAATACACCAAGTTCGCTTATTTTCACATATTTTGTATAAGTAGTAATAAGTGAACTTCGTACACCACAAATATAATCGTATAACAATGTATTGTTATGCGATTAGATAGTACTCGTATATAGCTAGCAAGCTATAGCCTGTGAATTTAAGTGTCATCCTGTTCTGGAATAGTCTATATGAAGACATAGACTCATTTTTGGTATTTCAATTCTACGCGAGGTGAAAGCTAGTATAGGATAATAAAAAACAATAAATCATAAAACTAAATATGCTTTATTTCACATTGTGTCAATAGTAATTGGTCGCGAACAAGTCGACGCCGACATATAAAATATATCAAGTTAACAACAATCCCCTCGCCGAGACATATATTACTAAATAATACAAACAGCGAAGGATTTAACACGAATCTTTTACTCGTAGAAATCAATATTCAATCTGAAAATTATATTAATTAGTACAAAATAATTATATAATACAGTATGTATGAAATATAATACAAACTCGCCAACTAAATGACATTTAAACAAAAATATTAAATAATTACAATGGTTATCGAAAAAATCTTTCAAGATAGAATATTGATTTCGGTGAGTCAATTTGCGAAAAGCCCACCCCCAACTAAGAGGTAGATCACGGATGTTATTCATACAATCCTTTCACTATCCCTTCATACACATCCATACATCAACATACAAACGCAACTCAAGTCATACTTTCGTCACGCTCAGACATACCATTATCTAAACATTCACACATCAAATAACAAAACTTATTCTATTTACTGGATAAATATTGCTCAAAGTATCCTGTCTCGTAACCCTGAGTCTCCACTGGCGAAACATTTGTATAAAAACATGTTTTATTTGTTTTTTAAGTCAATGGTCATTACAATGTTTTTATATTAATGTTTCGGCGATGGAAACGCAGGTTAAATGGAATTGACAATAAATTAACCTTTCAAACTGGAAGACTGTATTTACCTTACAAATTCTATCTTTCAGTAAATCGTAACACCAGATTTAGTTATTTCATAGTGAATGTATATAAAATATTGACAAACATAAGTCTCCTATTTATCAATTTATATAATTTTCAAAAGATTCGTGTTAAATAGGATTAGATAAGAAGCAAAAATTAATGTTATTACTAAACATATGATTTTATTACACATTTATAAGAAAAAACTAAAAAAAAAACAATTATTGAAATAAGAATAAATACCTAAATATTTCAATTTTATTTATTTTTCGTTCGTATTCGCGAGTTTAGTTTTTCACATAAAATTCATTTGCTTAGTAACAAACAAGTCAATATACTATGAAATATACGTTAGTTATCAGCATATAATGTAAATATATCGCTACATATATATTGTATATAGTTTATGACGTCACAGGGCTGAGGGGATGAGGGGTTACAAAATCACCAGTAAAATTTAAAGTCTAACATGTTCTTAAACTCTTAATTATACAAAATTATCATCAATATCACAAATAAAATACAGAACTTCGAGTTAGACTAAATTATAATCCGAATACTCTGAGAGTAACATTTACAATGCGTTTAACGAAACATTAACAAAAACGTGATCAATTACTTTCAATCATGTCTCTATGTAAATGTTTCGTCGTGTAACAAGATGCCAATCTTCAGAGTTATCACTGACCACGTGTGAAACAAAACGTTACTGTACAAAATAATATAATAAAAAATAAAAACAAATGTAACACTATGATACAAAAAAAAAAAGAAAAAAAAACAGAATTTATACAAAAATGAAATCGTCTTCTAAAAGTCCAATACTATTTACCATGAGATTTGTGTAACAAAAAATTGGCTTTAACATTTCTATATTTAGAACATGTGCTTTTGACATAATAATCAGCTTCTCACTAAATAAAAAAAAAATCGGACAAAAAACTAAACAAAACACAATAAAACCGCAAATTATTTACAAGATTTTTATAATTTCCTTGGTTTATGAAGTGTTTTTTGTATTTTTTTTTCAATAAATAAATTTTATTACAAAAAAGCACCCGTGTACACAAAATCTCATGTTAAAGTGCGGACTGCTAGCACACGCCGGGTCTGCAGTTAGCCTTAACCAAACAGCACGCGCCGTATAAAATCATAATCAGTCTATATCGGCATAGTTTGGCAAGGGACGCTGTTCAAAGTCTAATTTCAATATTTTCCTTTTACTAAAACTCCGAAATATTCAATTCGAAATCAGCCTTACAACATTCTCTATTCATTTCCTAAACCTTTCGTCAATTTTACTAAACCCTTTCACACCCGTAGTATACTAAATCCTTTACTTTCAATACATTTCGTCACTTTTCGATACAAACAAAACTATTTAAAATGCTCACTCAAATGTCAAATCGGAGTTATGATATCGTATCGTCAAATAGAACTTCTCCCGTCTTATGTCATCCTGGTACTCTGACTAGTCAATAAGGCTCCAACGTTAGATGCGAGTTATTTCTACATTTGTATAGTTAATATTTACATATACAAAATTAGTCGTATTACATAGGGATGATATCAAGGAAGCGGTAATAAATTATTTTGAAGTTCAGAGCGGTCGCCACGTCCATTAATGATAATTTCATTATGTACATAAATTTGCAGCTTGTTAACTAAAATGTCACATTTGAATAACAGATTTTAATGTTCCGCAGATAACATGCGTTTTAAATAATCATGTTAAAGCGGAGAAGGAACTAGGGATGTGACGAAGGACAAATCAGTCGAGTAATTAAATCGTCGAGAGTTCTGCAAAGTGTATGACAGCACTTCATTCATTTGAATGATATCGCTGTTATTGAATGAATGAAGGAATGACCGAGGGGGACCGCTAGGGGGCGGAGGTGTGTGGGGGCGGGGGCGGGGGCGGGTCACCGCAGCGCGCGGCACCGCCGGCAGACACGCACGGCGCCGCACTCGCCCCATGGACTCATCTCCGAACACGAGCCGCAGAATATACCGCCGCACCGTCTGAAAAACATAACACTAATTGAATACGAAACTCTAAATGGATGTATGTTTACTATGATTATCCAAAACGACGTAGGTTAGGCCATTAACTACTTTTTATGTCGCGTAGACGAAATCACAGAAAAATTCTCAAACTAACTATATTATAAAAAGTAAAGATTTGTATTTTTCTGTTTTGAAATAACTCAAAAACTAGGCCGATTTCAAAAATTCTTACAGCACTAAAGCTAAGTTATCAGTGAGTAACATACGCTATTTTTGTGTTTTAATTTCACGCAAAGTCGCGAACAACACTTAGTCTTTTAAATTTTGATAGCTTACTAATGTCGCTATACCATTTGCGACTTGAATACGTCAAGTATAAGTTATGTTAAAGCTGTAAGTGGCAAGTGTTGTGTACCTGCAGTGGTGCCTGCGGCGCGCCAGCCAGAAGTGGTTGCGGCAGTGCTGGCAGCGCGGCGCGGCGGAGTCCGGCAGCCAGGCGGCGCGCGCCTCCTCGCCCACCTCCACCTCGGAGGCGCTGCCGCTGCTGCTACCCGCACTGCCGGCGCTGGCGGCACCGCTGGCCGCACTGCCCGCGCTACCCGCGCTGCCGGCGCTGCCCGCACTGCCACTGGCGGCGCTCACCGCCATCTGCGTGGGCGAGGGGGCGGAGGGCGAGGCGCGCGCGGGGGGCGGGGCGCCCAGCGGCGACGCCCGCCGCAGCGCCTCCCTAGCTTCCCGCAGCTGCCCGCTCAATTCTTCCACTACTTTCTGTAATACAACGATATTAACATTTTTATATTCATGTTTTTGCTTGCGACTTCGTCCGTATGAAATTAAAAGTAATAATATAAGAATGCCTACGTTACTCGCAAATAAATTACCTTTCTAACGGTGAGAGAATTTTTAAAATCGGCCCAGTAATTTTTAAGTTATTTCAATACATACAAAAATACAAATCTTTCTTCTTTATATTATTACATTATCCAGATTTTTTATGCTTTTCAGACTATTTGATGTCAACATACCTTTTGATACAATATGATCTGATGCAGCCTGGTCTGCAGGGGGTCTGCGGCGGGCGGCAGGCCGTCGGGCGGGTCGTGCGCGGGGCGCGCCGCCGCGCCGCACACGCAGCGCACGCGCGCCGCCGCGCCGCCCGCCTCGCCCGCACCGCCCCCGCCCCCGCACCACCACGCCTCGCTCTCCACGCCTACACACAATACATTCGTAAATAAGGTATATAATTGTGTCTAGTCAAAATTGAGTGTATGTATTTGTGTATATGACAGATATGGGGCGTAACGAGATGAATTGGGGGCGTGTCGTGAAGGATTAAGTGCATAGCGAATTGGACTATGGAACGTGATGGGTTGGAGCCGTGACGTGTAGGATTACAGACGTGTTAAATTGAATTGGGGTGTGTAAGTTGGGTGCGTGGTGTGGCATTACGGATAAGGGGCGTGACGTGTGACCTTAGGGGCGTGTCATGATATATACCGTGCGGAGCGCGTGCGCAGCGGCAGCAGTTGCGGCGCGGCGAGGCTGGGCGCAGCGTGAGCTGGCTGGCGGCGCCGCGCGCGGACCCCGAACCTTCGCCCTCGCTCTCTGAACTCGCGCCGCTTGATGACGCACCACCTAATTGTAACAAGAATAAACAAAACTGCTTAAAATCCAATAAAGGCATTTTATTTACCCTTTAATAGCAAAATTATAAGGATTTTTTTGTCACTGCTTACTTACTTACCATTTAAATCGACTTGCATGAACTTGGCAGATATATCATTGAGTCCATTGACGACGCCGTTAGTGAGGGGGCCGTCGTCCGTGACGTCAGCGGTGACGTTGCCGATGACGTCAGTGGTAACGTCCGCGGTGACGTTGTGGTTGACGATGTCGACGTCGACGTCAGTGCACCGGGTGTCAATGGCGGGGGGCTCATGTCGGTCGGGGGGTCTGTCGGTGCGTGCGGCGGGGGGCGTGCCCGCGATGTCGAACCCGGTGGACGATTGGTTGCTAGACTCAGAGATAGACCGCCATGTTATGCTTATATTGCGAGTACGTCCACTTTCCCTTGAAGCCTGAAACGAAAAGAATTTTATGTTTTTGTCCCTTTTTTTCTATTTCTATCTGTGTCAATGTCTTGTACAACTATAGATACTGACTTCAGGCATGGGCAGGAGTTCAGAGTAAGTGTCAGCGAGGAAGACGGCGGGCTCGTCGGGCGTGTCGTCGTCCGGCGTGCGAAGAACGCTCTGCGACAGCTCGCCAACCACACCATTCTGAACAAATGGTAAATAAAACATGAAATAATCAAAATATTCAAAATAATTTTTTCGAGGTTTACCTTAATAACTTAAAGGTTTACAGTTATAAACTCATTTTGTCCTATCGAGTGTCGGGATAGTATGTTCTTCCATACATCTCTATCAGCCGTTATATCTGAATTTACTCCCTTAAGCATATCCTCTTCCATACTTTCTTCAATCTTCCTCTACCTTTGTAGTTAATCGTTTTAAATAGCACAAAATTCCAGACAAAAACATTGAAACTTTATACTACAGCTATAAGCACTGATACTAGTGCAGTAATGGGGTAGGCAGGTACCTGCAGCGCGTGTGGTGTAGGGGCGGGGGCGGTGGGGGCGGGCGGCGGCGGGGAGCCGTCCGTGCTGTCAGTGCAGTCAGTGCCGGTGGCCGCCCGCACCAGCTCCCGCTCCAGTGACGAAGACGCGCTGCCCGAAGGCTGGCTGAAGTGCTCCGGATTCAAACCTTCCACTTCGATCTAGAAGAGTTCCATTACTTTAGAAGATGCAAAACAGAACATTGACAGTCAAATCTTACTAATATAGATGGGTTTTTGTTAAGAGTTTGCAGCCTAAACTGCTGAACGTATATCGCTTAAGGTCATCGATGTAGAGGATAGTCTGGAAGAACATTAGGCTACTTTTTTTAATTACATGCGGACAGAGTCATGGGCGAAAGCTAGTTAATAAAAAGACAGAGTAATAGATAGTTAAATGTTTGAAACATGAATCAGAAGCTTCATGTGATACTTTCTGCGCAATAAATTACTACCGTACTTAAAGATCTTAGCTGGGCAAGCATTTTTGAAATGTACACTTAGGGGAAACACTGTAAATGTCTGTCTGTCTGTGTGCTCTCACCTGGCTGGTGGAGGGCTGCGGCGAGGGCGCGGGCGCTGGCGTGGCGCCGGCGAGCGCTGGCGCCAGCTCGTCCACGCAGCTGTCTGTCAGCGCGCGACTGTCGCGACACACTAGCGACGACAACTTCCTACAAAATAATAAAAATTCAAACTAAAACAAACACATTTAAGAAATGTATACTAGACATAGGGAACATTTTTCACCGGCAACTTTTTTGAACGGTACTGTTAGACAATTTTAGGAATTATTCACAACCGTCACCCAGCTCTGTCCCCACGTAGGGACAGATGAGAATATAAAGTTTCATCCGTCCCACCTTTTGCGACGTAGGGACGGTCGGAACTTATTTTATTTCTTAACGGTTCCATCTATAACCTTATTGGTGATAGTGGGACTAAGAGGTGGCACTGGTAAAACTTCATTTTTCATCTGTCCCCACGTGGGGACAGAGCGAGGTGACGGTTGGGTATAATTCAAGTTTAGTTCTACCTCATGACATGTTATAAAACATTTTACATTTTTTGTTATAAAATAAACTAACCTTTGTCAAAAAATATAAGAATTCAAATATCATTTAGTGACATCTATTGGCAATTTATTTAAATACAATTAATTTTATGGACATGTGGTTTTGAGGACCTATAAAAATAGCGTTATTGAGGATTATGTGAAAAATGTCTCAATTGAAATGTTACCTGTGCTTACACTATTTTGGAATCTTTTTAAAATCAATAATTAGGGTTTAACATCGACTTACATAACATCAGGTGCGATGCTGGGGTCGCTGCGCCGCCTCTGGGTGGTATGTTTCTCTCCGTCACTCAACAAGTTGTCACAAGATCTTGTTTTCGTCATCAATCCTAGAAACAAACGAGAATCGTGTAAATATAAATTCTATGACGTCACATTCTTGTACAGCGAAACCAAAGACATTCAAGACGTATATAGACTAGACATGGAGAACATTTTTTCCCCGGTATTTTCTTTGAAAGGTAATATATTAGTTGTCAAGTTTAGTACCACCTCGAGTCCTTGTATTAGCTTGTAATAAAACATATTACAAAACATTATAAGCCCCCATCTTTTGCTATAAAATAAACTAAACCGTGCCTAAAAATAATACATATTGGAGATTAATTTAAATACAATTAACTAAATTGACATTTTGGGGATTTATAAATAGACAGCGTTAGTGAGATAATGTGGAAAAAATTCAAGTGAAGTGTAACTATGCCTACTCTACCTATTTTTAATGTCTCTGAGCGAAATATAAAAAAATATTTACATCTTGTTCGATATCTGTACAAAACAAGAGGACTTATTACGAACATTTATGAAAACGTTTTCGTATCGTCATCGACAAAATTTGTATTAGGGTTTGTACATACAAATTTTATCGAAGAAATTACGAATACGTTCTCGCAACTGTTTCTCAAATTCGGAATAGAATCCCCTGTTCATAGTGTCATGTACCGTTCTGTGGCGGGGGGTCGAGGTGCGGGGGGTCGTGTTCTCTCTCTCGCTCTCGCTCGCCGCACAGCATGCCCCACCAGGGCTGCATGGCGCGCACGCTGCAGTCCACCCACAACACCTGCAATACACACTTATGTAGCCCCGGTAATCCATACTAATATTATTGATAGTAAAAGTTCGTATTTTTGTATATATTTATTTAATGAAATAACTCAAAAAGTACTAGGGCGATTTCAAAAAATATTTCACCATTAAAAGTTATCAGTATGCGACATAAGCTATGTTTTTTAATTTCATGCGGGCGAAGTCGCGAGCAACAGCTAGTCTCACAGTATGTGAACTACGGCAATTTATGAACTACTTGGTGTTGCTCGAGACTTCGCCCACGTGAATTTAAAAAAATATATTTATATGTTATTTACAGAAAATTACCTATCTAACGGTGAAAGATTTTTTAAAATGATCTATTAATTTTTGAGTTATTGCAATACATACAAAAATACAAATGCTTTTATAATATTAGACAAACTATTTCCGTGCGGATGAATTCGCATGTAATTATCGTTAATTACAGTTACCATGACAACCTTTAACTTTTTCCGCATGACAGTTTTTTCCAAAGTTTAATAGCATGAAAATATATAGCCTAAAGTCATAAGTCGTCGTAGGGCTTTTATAATAATGAAATATAAAAAAAAAACATACTGTGCTGCATCCTACAGAACTAAATAATGTGTGATTTACGTTTTATTACATTAGTTTAGAAGTATTAATCAGAAAATTCACTACATGTTTTTTCATGAAACATCGCATGTTAAAGTCTTTAATGTGAACTTATAACTCCATCAATTATATGACGATACATCAATTAGTAAATTATTTATTCAGTACAACACTTTATAATTTGCATATAAATGGTAAATAATATCTTACCTGTTGATGTTGATGCGGTGAGTAGAGATGGTTGCGGTAGGCGGGAGCGCGAAGCAAGTGCCACACGTGCGCGGCGCCGTCCGCACGACTCTCGATACGTTCGCGCCGCGTGTTGCATAGGAACGTGCCGAACATACACGAATGCACGTGTGTTGCTAGCTTTATCTGGAAATTATTGTCATAGTTTTAAAAAATTACTAGCTTACGCCCGCGAGTCCGTCCGCGTGAAATTTAAATAAAAACAAATGTGAATAGTATATGCGTTCTTCAAAACTATCCTCTACATCCATACCAAATTTCATCGAGATCCCTAGAGCCGGTTAGTTTACAAACTTTGACAAACATCCATCCATCTAAACTTTCGCTTTTATAATATTATTAAGATATAATTTTGTTTTTATGATGATTCTTATTGTTATTGGATCATTAGCAGCAGGCTATGCAATTTAATCGCACATTTTGAAGATTAACTACATTTGCCTCACTCACAGTCATTAAGTGAGACCCTTAGTATGGATTTTATAAGAAATCCAAGGAAAGATAAGTGATTGCATAAGTTTCATTAAATTAATCAGGAGTCCGACACCAGGATCACATATACATGTAGTAAAACAAATTGTGTGTAAAAGAGATAGAAGATTGAGCAATATTAACTTACGAGATATGCCTCATTGAACTCGAAGCTGCAAGGATACTGCAGCATCATCTGGTATACAACATCGAGCCATTGTAAGAAGATGGGTGACCGCTCGTTCGGGTCCTCCGCACCGAACTGATGTCCGCAACGATCCGCAAACTTGTGCCCGAAGTCCAACCACTCGCGTTCGATCAACACGCGGAAGCCCTGAATAAATGTTGTAACCTTATAACAAAGACTAAGAGAAATATAGACTAGACATAGGGAATTTCAACGGTAACTTCCTTGAAAGGTAATATGTTGTCAAGTTTAGTGCCCTCTCATGTAGTGACATGTTATAAAACATTTTACAGAATTATAAAAATCTCCTTTTTTATTATAAAGTAAAAAGAAGTCATTTACTTAGAAAACGGATACTTAAATTTTTTTTACACAAAATATCAATATATTGTTGTCTATTGTGTATTGTCATCATAACTTTCGTGAGACATTATCTTAAACGAATTAAGGCCTTCCTTAATATGTTCAATATTGTTGTCTCTCTTTTTCAAAGAGAAAGAGAGGGAGAACATTAGCCACAGTTACCTCAACGGTGCGGTAGTAGGGGTCGAGTGCGAGTTGTGCGGCGGCTACGATCTGCGGCGTGCGGTCCCAGCCGTCGGAGCAGTGCACGAGCACGGGGCGCGCGGCGAGCACGGCGCGCGCCACCACGCCGGCCGCGCGGCACACGCCCGCCACGTACTGCGGCCACAGCGTGCGCTCCAGGTTGCTGTGCCAACTGACACACACACATTATAAGTAAAAAAATACAGTAGAACCTCGATAACTCAAACCTCCGTAACTTAAAAACCTCTATAACTTCAAAAAATAATATATTCCTTTCCCATCAGAGCCCCAAACCTCTACAACATAGACCCTTGATAACTTAAAACCTCTATAACTTAAACTATTTTGTGTTTCCCTTGGACTTTAACTTATCGAGGTTCTACTGTAATTGTATATCATTTAGGTATTATAAAGAGGAAAGATTTGTACTTTTGTATTATTATATGTATTGAAATAATTCAAAAACTATTGAGACGATTTCAAAAATTCTTTCACCATTAAAAAGCTATGTTATGAGTATATGTAAAAAATTCTCGTAATTTAAACAAATCGAACACCTATAAAAACTTACTGAAGATTTACACACTTTTTTACCCACATTTGTTTTTTTTACGTTTGTGTAAAATGTAATTTGAATTGTTAAGTGTAACTAGTAAGAATAGAGCATCCTGCCACAAAAATTAACTTAAAAGGGTGCTCCAACATTTAAAACATTGTTGCGTTTCACTGCAACACCGGCGGGGATTAGGGGCGAAGAGGCCCTTTCAGCCCTCATCCGTCCCCCGCGCGCCCTCACACCGCATCGACCAGTTGCGCGCCGATCGACAGCGCGACCACACATACCTAATTTAACCTTGAACTGTAACTATTTAACAATATATCTTCGAACTGCAAGCCTACTATTTATTTAGAAACCAGAATATACAGTACACCAATAACAAACATTTATATGTGTTTTTAAAATAGAAATAGATATTGTCGCGACGACATCTATTGATGAGTAGCGAAAATCATATTCGAGGAATAATCGAGCTGTTTCCAGAATGTTCGATCGCCGCAAGCAGTGAAAATGACGTTCGCGAAAAGATGTCGCGAACATTCGAAACGGCTTCGAGAATGTTCTATTATTAAATTTATGTAATTCGGCCTATCGAGAAAGTTCTGGAATAAAATGACAAATGAAAAACGAAAAGAAGATCGAAATTCGGAGTATATAAGGGGAGTCAGTCGTGACTCGGGGAGTGAGACGGTGGAAAGTGAACTGTGAAGAAGAAGTCCTGAGCGAATTACTAAATTACGAAGAAGACTTAGAGACCGCAAAGTGAAAGTGCTAGCGAATAGTGACAGTGGTGTTCTGTAAAGTGCGCTGAGTTAGTGAATCAGTGTTTGCGTGCATCGTGTAGTCTTAACGGACGATTTGTGAGTGCAGTGAATCCCTGTTATTGTAAGTCGCGAATAAATTAACGCAGAAATTTCCAAGGCGTTTTGACTCTATCCCGCACGCTCGTAACAATATATTTCTCATACTTGGCCTGATCATCGGAGTCGGCGACGAGCGCCCGCAGCTGGTGGAAGCTGCGGCGCACGTGGTGTATGTTGGGCAGGCACATGAACTGGATGTCGGCCGCCGGGTAGTACTGCTGGCACTCGCAGCCGCCGCCGCGCGCGCGGTTCGTCACCGCGGACGCGTACGACCGCGCGTCCACTATCAGCAGCTTCACTTGCTGGGCACACACACATTAAAGAGATACAGACTGGACATTCAACATTTTTTTCACTAACTTCTTTGAAAGGTATGTTAGTTATCATGTTTAATACGCCTCGTGCACTTGTATTGATGTTATAAAATAAACTAATGTCACAAAATGACACCTATGACACCAATTCATATTAATATTATAAATGCGAAAGTTTAGATGGATGGATGGATGGATGATTGTTAGAAATTGTAGCCTAAATGACTAAACAAATTTCTGTGAAATATGGCATAAATGTAGAGATTAATCTAGAAGAACACATAGGGTACTTATTTTTTTTTAATCCACACGGACGGTGTCGCGAGCGAAAGCTAGTTTTAATATAATTACATTGACATGTGCTTTTGAGGTTCTATCAATAGATAGTGGATCATGTGAATGTCTCAAGTGAAGTGTCAACTATGCTTCCTCTATATAGTTTGAATCTCTTTGGAAACAAGTTAAATCATATTGTTATCTCTGTTTTTCTCAAAGAGTGACAGAGATGATGTTACCTACCACTGGAACCCAATCAAGTATACAAGTATACTTTAAGTATACAAGTTCTACGTTTTTCGTCTGAATGAAGTACCAGGCGTACATACCTTGTTGGTAGCGGGAGGTTGAGTGCCGCGATCAGCGTTACAGGCGGTGACGTAGGCGGCTAATAGCCGTTCATCTTCATTAGAGCGCCAGCCGAGCCAGCCCACCTCGGGCTGCGAGGAGCGCGCGATAACCGCGCCGTTGCCGCGGTGTCGCCACACCACCGCCGGCATGCGACGCATCGCTCTAAATCTGGAAAGAAACACATAAAGTTACAGTGGTAGAGCCCGCTTTAACATCTTCGCACGAATGGGCCGGCTCGCCCCCAGCAATACCACAACCACAAAGATAGGCGTGAAGTCGAAGCAATTCCGCGTTTCGTCTGATGAGTGTGGTGCCGGAGGCCTAATTTTAGTCTCTTTCCCTTTCCACCCTTTTCGTAAGATAAGAGGATGGGAAGGAAAAGTGGATTTGACGACGGAGGAGACGCATAGGAAGAGGAAATCCTCTTTATGTGCGTCTCCTCCGTCAATGAAGGGTAGACAACGCATCTGCAATTGCGGATGTTTATGGGCAGCGGTCGCTTGCCATTTCGGTGGATTCAGGTGGCCGCTTGCTCGTTTGCCACCTTATATGATAAAAAAAAAACTTAATTATTACACAGTTTAGAAAGGCCTTATCCATTCAGCATAGAAAACTTAGTAAAAACTGATTCATAACTTTATGCTGGTATTTAACATTTTTTCCCCTATCCTCCTCCTAGTATCCTCTACGTCTATACCAAATTTCATCGAAATCTGTTAAGCCGTATATGCTAAAAACTCTAACAAACATCCATCCATCTAAACTTTCGCATTTATAATATTAGGATGAAGTGTGATTAGGATGATTTACCTGGCAACAGAGTCGAGATCCTCATCCCCGATGGTAGCGGGCACTAGCAGTAAAGGCGGGTAGGACGGACACAATTTATACTCCGCGTTAGCAGCTGTCACTCGCCATGCGCCCTTAGTCGTGAAGCCTAGTCTTTCAACCTGTCAACGAAAAGGAAATACTCGTACTTTTACAAATATTCCGCTACAAATAAATTGCATTGACATCAACATTTATATGGTCTATGAAGGTTCTAATGCGGTCACACTTAAGGTAATAAAATATGCAGGAAACGATTACACCACTTCCTATTTCAATAATTAATTTATGAATGCATAAAGTTTACGATATATAAATACAAACATCACAAAATAACAGCATAGTGAAGACATTTTTATTAGGTCTCTTAAATATCTAAACACCACTAATTCTGGAATCTTCTGCCTCAACATTTTTCTGATAGTAACTCCAACAAATAATGTACTTGTTTTATATGATCATTGTAATGCTGTCAACACACCTCAGGTCCGAACCAATGCCTTTGCGGTGCATGCGATGCCCTCATAAGCGCGCGGTGCACGGACGCGGGCGGTTGCTCCTTTGCCCACGCTGCGTACGCGGCTGCGAATGTATCTTGTAACGAAGACAGCGGCGCTAACGCCGTGGTCAATCTCCGCCACCACTCCAAACACTGCTCGCCCGTTGTAAACGTACATCTGGAAGCAGGATTTGTTGTTTAAAGTATTAGGATATCTTGAAAAAATTAATCGTTCTATGTAAATTTCATTCATATCTTCTCTACCAATTCATATTTCCTTCCCATCTCTTCCTTATAAAAAGGGGTAAAAATGGAAAGGGACTGAAATTAGGCCTATGAATTGCTCTTTTGCGCCTGTGTTCAGTGTGGTCGTGGTATTACACGGAGCGAGCCGCCCCATTCATGCGATGTTAAAGCGAGCTCTATCAGTGTAACGATAATAGTCCAAGATTTTTATTTCCTTACATTTTTTTTTTTATAACACAAGGTGGCAAACGAGCAAGCGGCCACCTGAAACCGCCAAAATGGCGAAGCGACCGCTGCCCATAGACATCCGCAATTGCAGATACGTTGCCTACCCTTATACGACGGAGGAGGAGACGCACATAAAAAGAATATTTCCCCTTCCTATGCATCTCCTCCACCGTCAAATCCACTTCCTCTTCCCAACTTCTCCTAAAAAGAAAAGGGTGGTAAAGAGAAAGGGACTTAAATTAGGCCTCCGGCATCACACTCATCAGACGAAACACGGAATTGCTTCCATTTCACGCCTATCTTCTGTGTGGTCGTGGTATTACACCGGGCGTGCCGGCCCATTCGTGCTAAGATGTTAAAGCGGGCACTACCACTGTCAAAAAAGCGTGCGCACAAGTGTTTATTATCGCTTTGATTCCTATTAGCTTGGAGGTGCGAACACTACTCGATTTTTACTTGTGCAACTAAACAGTTGAATTGGCTGCGAAACAATCGACAATCGCACAACATTTGTGTTTTTTCAAAGATGTGCGCCCGCTCTTAGTAGTAATTAATATTTCGATATAGTTTAAAGTTACAAATACTAAGTACATTTCATAGATAATTCCATTTCAAATAGAGGAATACAACTATTTTAGACTAAGAACAAAATTTTCTCCGACATTTTAACGACCGGTCATTATATGATTCTCATAGCAAACATCTAATACATTGCTATTCTAAAAACGTCCATCTTACTAAAGCGAAGGTTACTTGTCGTTTTTGTGCTGTTTATCTTTAGTAGAAATACACTTTCTATATGCTATTTTACACTAACATTTTGACTAAGCCTAGATCTTTGAAACGTGTAAAGTAAATATTCTATCAAACACTCAAGTCAAGTTGTTTGAAGACTTCATATGTCGATGTCGCCTGCAATCCTGAGTGTTTTTACATTTTGTACACTGAATGAACAAATATTTAAACAATGGATGTCGGTAATACTAAACGGTACACGGATGTATTCCTTTCATATTTGTAATGGTTAAAGATTCTATCAATTTATGGTCTCCTAGTCTTATCCTAAACTAATTCAGTGGTATATATATGATAAAATTGGAGTGTCTGTGTATAATATCAAAAGAAAAATTCCAGATTTCGGGAAGATGATGTATTTGCGTTGCTGATAACGAAAATCACATTATTTTTTTGTCTGTCTGTCTGTCTGTCCGCAAGTCGCGTTTGTTCCGAAACGGCTGGGCCAATTTCGATCGGACTTTCTCTAAAGGGAGCTGACATAAGACATATTATAAGGCTACTTTTTTATCTTAATATTGCGTGGACAAAATCGCGGGCAACAGCAAGGTTTTTAACATGTTTGTTGCAATTTAACCCATGCTCCATTATATTTTGGTAGTTGAAATAAAAGATTTAGCATAGTTAATTAAAATGTTATCTTATTAGTGTTGGAATTTTCACACAACTTTCTACCGGCTATCGGTTGGCGGCCTCGATCGCGGACAGTGACGTTTTACATCTATCGCTTGTTCCCATCCGATCTAAATTATAATTATTATCATTTGAACACTAATTCCGCTGTGTTGCTATGTAATATATTTGCGTTTAGAACTGTACGTAAGAATTTACAGTCCTAAAAACAGCTTGATCAGACGGTATTGAATTCGATGATATACAACATTTAAACCAAATAAACATTTCTTTGAACTACGAGGAAACGATAAGCCACGCAAATTTTTGACCGACTTCCCAAAAGAAGGAGGTACTCAATTCGTCTGTATGTTTTTTTTAATGCAACAATTTGTAGTTCTAGTTTAAATTGCAAGAGATTAGAAAAGTCATTTACTTAGTAGTCTATTGAAGATATCAAACGAAAAACATGTAAATTATAAAATTTATTTTTAACTAGCTTTAGCCTGTGACCTCGTCAGCGAGGAATTAAAAATAAAACAAAAGTAACCTATGTAATCTAGACTATTCTCTACATCAATGCCAAATTTTATCGAGATCCGTTCAGCAGTTTAGTCTACAAACTCCAACAAACTATTGTTAGCTTTTTAACTATTTTGATGTATTCTGTATTCTTGAAGATTATTTAGTCTGTGCTATAAATCAATACCATTTGTCATAATTTGAAATAACGATATAAGCTTTGTAATTGTGATCCAAGACTTTATTTAAAATATTTATGTCATTGTTTTAAAATGTCGTAATTGTGCTTGTTATTTTAATAATCGGTTGTCAAAAATAAGGGTGTTGCATTAGCTCGACGACACGACGGCCATATTGGTAAGGTTATTCTGTGCAAATTGCAAGAAAACATAAGAGGTAATGAAGACTATATTTTAATAAAGTATAACATGGCTGTAACGCCCATACTATTAATATTATTATAAATTATTAGTAAGAAGTAAGAATGACGGAAGTAATTTGAGCGACAGTTAGATAAATAGTGCATTCAAGTAACAGAATATGTTGTCATTCATTACACAACATAAATGAAGACAGACTTGAGTGACGTCTGTGTTGACTACTTCATTAAGAAACTAAATATAGAAGCTTATTAATTGAATTGTAGATTGCAACATGCACGGAACAACATATAATCCAATTACGATATAAAAATATACCAGCGATGTTACGATAAACATTGTGTACAAACAACATTTATTTTGCACATTACGTTATGTAAATTTTGCACAAAGAATCTGCGCTAAATCTTAAGAATTTCTTTTTTAATGTCATCACATTTCCTAGCGCCAATAACATACTTAATCTTTACTATATTTCTACTAATATAATAAAGCGTAAACACACACTTCTTTGTTGCCTAAGATGTCAGAAATTACAGCATATTTTTGAATAAACCTTTTTAATAAAAAGCCCTACACTTACGTCACGCTTTAGGCTATATATATTTACGCCATTAAACTTAGGGGGTAAATATTCGAGGTTGCCATGGTTTGTCATCATGTCATGTCATATTGACATTTGCGATTGATTTTGACAACTGTTAAAATAAAATTGAATTTTCATAATTTTATGCAGATGAAGTCGCACGGGAACAGCTAGTTAGAGATAAAGTTAAATAACTTTCTTCTAAGTTATAATGGGCCGTAGTTCATATTTCCAACGTACTAGGGTTCGAGAAGTTTATAGGAGTTATTTATGGTACTTACTTGATCTGTCTCCCATGCTTGCAGAGTACGAGCAGGCATAGCAGCTCGCGGATCTCGAGACCGTCTATGAGCCGCAGCGGCACAGAAGCACCTGGACCAGCGCGACGGCGAGGCTGCACGTGCAGGCGGTAGTTGGACATGGAGATGGTGCCGCCGTCCACCACGCGACCCACCCACTGCGGACACACCGCCTCATTGTTATACACTCCTGGTATTTGAAATTGTTATTGGTCAGTAAAAATAAAGATTTCGTTATCTATATGAATTAATTTATTTAAGGCACCTTTTTACTTTCTAGATAAAATGTGTTTATTTGTAAGTGTGGGGATAATCCAATAATAATCTTTTATTAATAATAATTGATTAATTATTATTAAACCTATTGTTTAAACATAAATATTGCGATATGATAATTATTGTGTGGATGTTTTGAATACAAATTGACGGTCATAAGATGTATCAATATAAATTACATAAGTAAACAATGTTTTAAAACCAAAGATTTTTTTTGTAAATATTATTACAATTTCATTGTGTTGTCTCTAAATATAAACAAACTTGTTTTAAAACAATACAAGGTACATATCACAACAATAACACATTAAAAAAGAGAAGCAAAGAAGCATAAGGGTGAACACGCATTGCTCCATTCCAGTGCGTGTTAATCTTAACATTACCATGTCTTGTTAGTTCGAAGAGAAACTCATTGATGCTTTTCATCGACAATTTTAATTAATTTTAGTTAGTAAAGGTTTACTAGTTTCTAGGAAGAAATAGTGCGTAGTAGAGCAGTGCAACTGTTCAGTAGACTAGTAAGGTCATCAGGTTGAATGCGTATCGAGTTGAACGAACCCGGTACTATTTAGTATTTACTATGCTATACCCGATGAATATCAGTTTTACGTAATCGGTATTTGTTGACTACTAAAGCATCACTTAATACATATAGCATACGTAACTATTAATGGTAGGCAGAGTTATCAAATTTTTATACATAGAAATATAGTTCAAATTGTGGTAGATATTGTAAATACATCGATTACATGTTTGAACAGCAAAATTAGCACATTTTGTTTAAACACATTTTTTATGTGTGCCAGTATCGAATTACATTTGAATTATTTACTGACACTTATTATTTTAACACTTGTGTTACCATTTATTGCTTATCTGCTTACCCAGTTAATTAAAATTGCTTCGATTATAGAAACCTTTCTACTGTAAGTACTAGGGGTACATAAATGTCATAGGTCCGTACCTGCACATACTCGCCGCATATAGGCGTGAAGCCAGCATCGAGGCCGGGCTCGTCGTGATGCGCGCGCAACCTCGGGTAGAGATCAGCGGCGCGCACGCGGTGCGGCGGCGGCTCGGGCTGTGGAGGCGCGCGGTATCTCTCGCGCTCGCTCATCTCGCCTACAGACGATGAGGACACCTGCAAAGAATAACATTACAATATTTTACTATACATTTTATAGTGTCAATTAAATAAAAATATAAACAGTATTATCATAATCTATTCGAATCTTCAACAGTTTTAGCAGCAAGTTTCTTTTCCCATTTAAATCAAGTCTCAATCAGGTTTTAACCTTATTTTAAATACATTAAAGTGTCCGTCGATATAAGGAAGGTCAAATAAATGGATAAACAACCAAACACAAAAACCTGTTTGCAACATCTCTGCAGTTCGCAGAGACATTCTCTTATCCTTTTTAATTAAACAAATTACAATAATTATGCAGTAAATTTAAATTCGCCAGGAAAGTAGGGCTACAATTGACGTTTATCAAAGTTAATTGAACTGTGTATTAATTACTTAGTTTAGCATTCTCTTTGTATTTGATAACGTAATGACGTTAACAAGTTGTCTTTGATTATTTAGAAAATGTTTACAATACAAGTTAAGGCATCATTGATAATTATGACAAAAAAACTTTTTCATACATCATTAAGGGCCTGTCGCACCAAATTATAATTTTTTTTGATAACAATCCAACGTGTAAAATATGCGAAAGAAATATCGAACGTCATTTTTAAGCTATCTGAGTCTCTATCAGCCAGTGGTGGGACAAGCCCTTAGTAATTTAAATACATAATACGTTCTTTGTCATGGCGACCAGGACTGCATACATCCGTGGAGAAATCCGAGTGGAGTAGTAAACATTCTTGCGGCTGCCGCGCGCAATCGTATGCAGTCACGATGCATGCCTTGAGGTTTTTTACAATATTACAATGCATAATTTATTTTGAATTGCCTTTTATAGTAGTTCCGATTCTTACACATTTGCTTATTTAATTTTTACACGTTCTTGTATTATCTCCATTAGTTCCAAGGATACGTTAAATTTCTTATATTTGCGGAAATAGGTATTTTAAGCTTTTTATGTACTAGGAGAGCAGCAACATTATGAGTTACAGCACGTGCAAATCTCATGCATCGTACGCGACGTGTGTACTATTACGCATAGGTAAAGCACCTGGGAGCATCCGCACAAGGAGATGCAACTAGGAAGTTACACATTGTTTGCAATTAAATCAAACTGAACGCAAGAAAAACATTTACTACAAAACTAGTTACCATGCAGCCAAGACACAGATGTACAAAAGCTGTCAACTTTTACTCATGAAATAAAACATAGTCTAAACATAATGTTACTTTAAGTACACAGATTGTACTCGATAAAACTTTATTGTGTTGTCTGGAAAATGTCTTATGGCGCCTATTTATAAACTGGAGTTTAACTGAGCAATAAAGGCGCTTTCCAACTGGTCCATAATTGGCATAACATTCCGGCGTAATGATGTAACGATGCCTAAGCCTTACCAGGAGACCAACAATGTAATCACGAGTTATTAAAAAAACTCTCAGGTATTATACAGAGATAGAGAATGCTTAAATTGTGTATCATTTTCATTTTTAAATTGCACTGTTATTAAAATTCATCTAGCTATCGTTCCGATCGTCGTTATCTACTAGGCATGCATGAAATGCTAAGAGTAATCACCGGTTGTAGACGATAATGAGCCTACATACATTAGATTAGCAGTTAGATCGGCATGCTGAGATTAACACGGAACGTATCGCAGTATTATTACCGGTGTTTTAATTGCGACGATTTGTTTTGAAACGCAAAATCATTTCATTGAAAATTTTACCTTTTCTTGTAGTAAAAGAATTTTATCTTATCAGATAGAGACATCAGCACGTGAGATACAAGGTCGGTTTCGAAACAATATTAGTACAAATCTTTTAGTAATTTTATTTAAAACTGTTTTTAAATTAAATGTATGTCAATTTTCTAACTAATGTCAATGAATAAATCAAATATGATCGTAGGCGTCCGCCCACGCCTCTTAGGCGCATTCAACTTACAGGCTTACATTTTGCGCGCACCATAATAGGCGCCAAAGCTCGAGGCTACGCGAACTTTCTTTGGGAGGTCCAAACATGAATTACTCCCACTTAAAATAACCAAAGTAATCATAAATAATAATAATCCATGCTAATTATAAAGAGGAAATATTTGTATTTTTGCATGTATTTTTATCAAGTAAAAATAAATTTAAAAATTCTTTCACCAATAGAAAGATTAATCATAGGCTTATTTTTATTTATTTGTGAATTACACGCGGACGAAGTCGGGAGGAACAGCTAGTAAATAACAACTTGTAATTTATTGACATAATACGCTATCTTACATAAAATAAACTGAAACAGAATATAAAAGTCGGTAGACATAGTTACCATAAAGTGGGCCGAGTGGAGGCGCCGTGTCATTTCGCCAATTTATATACAGTTCGCAATGATTTGCGTTTATTTAGAGACTACCAGGGTTTACCAAGCTTTTATTACAACGGCCTGGAAATTTTATGTCTAAACGTAAAACTATAGTTGGTTACTAGCTTCTGACGACTCTATCTCGTGGAATTAAAAAAAAAGTAAGTTGCCTATTTGTTCTTCTAGACTACCTTTGACCTCTGTGGAAATTTCATTGAGATCCTTTCAGCCGTTTACAGGCTACAAACGGTAACATCCATCCATTTATCTAGGTAAGCTTTCGCCGTCTATTCTCTTTCTTGTTTATGGCTCTCCCTCAGCGGATTGGGCCAGTGTCAAGTGCTTGTGGTTTTATTCTAATTTGGGAGAAACTGGCAACAAAACTCTGCTTATGGAGATGTTCTTGGGTGTACCAGCGGTCTAAAGCTTTTGCCTTTATAATTATTAGAAAGTAGTAAGTATTTGTTTATGAACAAATTTATTTTCGTTACGTTTGTTGTATTACTCCATAACAGCCGGTTGTCTTTGGTCCAGCTTCAAACAAATCATATAAAGAAGAGCTAGCTCTTGACAATCATTTAAATTTTAGTGTATTTTGTGGTAACTAGGCTTAACTTTTGTATCTCTTTTCTAAGTATTTTTGATTGATTTCCTCGTGTATTTTATAGGCACGTTTCAAATCTATAAATACTTTTTTATGAAGTCGATAAAAGATCAAACTAGCTCCACAGAAGCATGTCGACTTTACGAGAGCATCAAACATTGCGGGTGGGCGATACGTGGGCACAACAATAGGAACGATACTCGCTTGTTAATGTTCCAATTAGTTCGTACGATTTAGGACGGAACAAGGGTTTGGCCTGCGGCGTATCGATTCAAAAATACTAGATTTACGTTATTTATTCTAGATAGCTAGTGCTCGCAATTTCATCCGCGTGAAATTAAATAATGTAGCCACAGATAAATTCCCTTTTTAAAGGTAAAAGAATTATTAATATCGCCCCAGTAGTTTTTGAGTTATTTCAATACAAATTTTTCCTCTTTATAATATTAGTATAGGATATAGATAACTCTGGAATATAGATTCTAAAACAAAGGTTTTTAAAAATTCAGATCAACTGTCTGATTAGAGACAAAGTTAATTTATTAATGTGGTATCAGATATTACAATACGAAAATCTTAATGTTGAAAATACTATACATAATAAATAAATTAAAAACAAATTTAATAATAGCGTTTTAAAACAAACATTAGGGCAGTGGAATTTCACGATACAAACGGAATCATTTGGTACCTAATAAACTCTATAAGTGAGATACTTAACATTCGAACAACCGACTAAATTGATTGGTCGCCGCTGTATAAATAACTCAATAGGCAACTATACATTTACAATCGGCGTCTTAATATTTAAACTACGCGGTCTGAGTTCATTCACCGGCTGGGCCGGTGCTATTTGTTAACCATAAAAACAGTAGTGGTCTTTGTCAATACGCCATCGAAAAACGATAACATTAGACAAAATGGCTGCGCCCCAACTGGTTTATAAGTCACTCGTTTGCATTAGTTTTTCTAAGGATATCTCAACATTACAACGTATTATAAATCAACATAATTAATTTTGATTGGATAGCTTTACTCTGTGTTAGTAGTCACATTTTAACAGTTTATTTAATAATAGCTTTCACTCGCGAGTCCGTCCGCGTGTTATTACAAAACAAAAGTGAGTAGCCTATGCGTTCTTCCAGACTACCCTCTACACCAAATTTCATCTAAATCCGTTCAGGCATTTACGGTACAAACTCTAACAAACATTCATCCATCCATCTAAAATTTCACATTTATAATATCAGTATGAAATATGATTTTAGTTGTACTAAGAACAGCAGATATAAATTTCGAGAATGGTAAGGCAAGAATTATACCAAGGTACCATAACCAAGCTGACATCACACAGTTAATTTAAATTCCCGTGTAATTTTGTGCAAACTACTAGTATACAGAGAATTGTAGAATATGTATAAGATAACAGTTAAAGTGCTACTAAAGGTAGTCTAGATTCACCGGGTTGCCAAGTGCACTTAAGCTTGAACCTATTTTCAAAAGCTCTTAGCATAAGGACTCCCTCGGGCACGGGACTGCTCCCTCTTGGATCGCTACATTAATTAGCTTTTAAATGAATAATATTTTGAAATGGTTGCCTTTAATGGTAATATTTACAATAAAAAAGTGTAATTATTATTTGTTACCAACATCAGGATGACTTTTCGTAATTTGACTAGGTTCACTATTACGTTTATAGTACCAGGAATATATGAGTGGGACGATAGTTTCCAGGAAGATTTTACACTTTGATCATACACGAATGATTAATCAAATGAATGAGTGTGGGTTCGACAAAAGGCAGTTGCGATGATGCACCAAGTCGACGGACCATCCATTGTTGTGTTCGGTCATTCACATGACACGCCCTCTTGCTAATTCATGTAAGCCTGATACTTATAACTTTTGCACTTGAAAAGATTTCAGAAATTACACGCAAATAAAACCATATAAAATTGCTTAGTTACCTTTCTAGTTTGTTTATAAAGATGGGAATAAAAAGTTTTTTCTTAGCAGAATGAAAACTTCCGGTGCAGATGTACTGCGAGGTAGTTTTGTGCACCGGATGTGATGTGACAGAAGTAATATGACGTCTTGGGGCCGCTCGCTCCCCATTCATGTTACGATAACAAGAAGATCAGGCGATACATCGCCTCATACTAACTGTTATATCTTTAGGTATGAGTATATGTATAATTATTTGATGAGTTAGAAAGAAATATTAATACGTAATTTACCTTTATTTTATCAATTAACCTTAGAAGAATTTCATAACATTTTGTACTATTCGACGTTTCGTTTTAACGCAACGTACTATTGTGTAGAGACGGGAGGTGAAACGGCCTTTGCGTTTCGTAAGCGCAAGGACGCACGCCGTTAGTCAATGGCGGAAACTCGGTAGATGAATTGCATAAGCCATCATCTGCCGCTGTTACCTATTGAGGTCAACTAGATATCATTGCTGATATCCTGGTACTGATATTTAGAAGACTCAGGCATGTATGGCGATAACTTTATTACAGCAAAGCTTATAACGTTAAGTCAGAAACATTTACAACATCTGTAAGTAATGTGTATGTGAGTGGTTTGTCTTGACATGACAAAGGTAAGTTTCAAAACAGTATAGTAACCGTAGTAAAACACATACCAACATCAACAAAAAGCATTGAGGCAGCGCCATGGCGCGCCGCTGACTCATGGGAAGCTGTCAGACATTGTGTACGGCAATTACCACTGACGCCTCCCCTACCATTTGTAGCAATTTATACGTCATTACGTTATAACTCGATTAAAGTAATGCGTGAGATATCTCGCTTAACTGTTGAGCTCATCTGTCGCTCTTTGTTCACTGATTTATTGGTCTGGACCATTTTACATTGTCATTTTTTATTTGTATTTCATCAATAACAAAAATAATTGACAAGATTAGTCATATTTTATTTAAAGGGATTATCGGTATACATCATTTTTTCATGTTGAAAAAGACATATTTGATAAAGTTTGATAAGAGAAGGATATCATAATAACATTGTTTCATTGTTTTGCAAGAACAGATTTAAGTGACCGATGTATTGCAAGATTAGTTACCAAAATGATTCATAACATTAACATTTATACTTTGCTATGTTAAAAAATATCTACACCATTATCAATCGCTAATTTAAATCAAACCAGAAATTAAGCTTATTATAACTTCTCGTCTCATACTGGTCAAGAATACTAACCAGCCCTTTTCCGGCTTCACTATAAACCTACACTAACACAACTGGTTACTTCACTTCCACCATCAATTATAAAATCAAGTAATAAACTTGATCAGACATAAATCTCAAACATGTCAATATCCGCAATAAAACCGGATATGTTACCGTAGAGTTTCTCTGCCGTGACATTCATTTAATGTCATTGTATGTGACAAAACAGAGAATAAAATGCGTCAATACCAGCATCACGACAATCGAATTCAACTTTAAAATGATTACAATCGAGTTGCATTCGAGAACAATTGGTAAGGTATAGTATCGGTGTGAATGGGCGAAGAAGGGCACAGTCGGTATGCGCGTACCTGCGACCGCAAGGCTGGGGCCTTGCGAGGCATTCACACATTGCTGTTACCAAAGAATGAATGATGCATCGAATGGATTGCAATTCGATTACGAGATAGTTGTATTGACCGTGTCACGGATTCGGTTATTTTCATGGATGGAGGTTTTCATATATAAATCGAAGGTCAAAACAGTGACATACTACTGTCTTAAAATAAAAAAAAATCATTTTCACCCACTACACATCACAAGAAATTTTATTTTTTGTCTATTTAATCCGAAATTTTAAACACATTTTTTCATTTACATTTAGTTACCTGTTTGTATTCAGGCGAGGGTGGCCGTGGCGGGTACTTGGAGGCCATACGAGCCCCCGCACCGCATCCCTGAGCCTGAGTCGGCTCATCCTCGGGGTAGTAAAGGTGCACGAAATCCTCCGTGTCAAGGAATGTATTGATCAGCATACTCCGTTACGTACACTCACAAACGTCTAAATAACTAATTAGCACGAAGTACTAAAAACACTGCAATTCACTTTCGGAAGACCGTCTGTACAAACATTTGAAACGTTCCATCTTGCTTTAAATATTATATAAATTTATATATTGATATATAATTTTTAATAAATAAATTATCCACTACACTTGTATAAAATCACATTTGCACCAGAATTCGATCGCACAGTTACCTGTTAGAAAAGATTTGTTAGGTCTAGATACATTAGTTCTCAAATAATATAGGCACTATAATAATAATGCTAACCGTACATTACGTATTCAAGCGAGAGTGCACACCGTTTACATTCTTATATAATTAAACACGTGTGCTGTTTACTATAAAAAAAAAAAAAAACATAAAAAACCAGCTGGTTTAGTTACCAGGAGAACATAATTTAAGACAACATTGTGTTGCAAATTGATGCAAAGAGCCACTTGAAGTTGGAGTTTTTAACATCACGGCAAAGAAGTAATAAGGAAAATATTTTATTAGCATATCATATTATAGATGACCTTAAGCGCATATTTATGATGCATTCAGTGAAGAATAAATAACATTTGATTGAGAGATCATTACCCATGTAAAATAAACAATGTCTATTGAAATGAAAAAATAACTTAATCATCCATTGATTGTTTTGTTAAGCGTGAATTAAATGTTTTATATTAGCACAGCAATGGAATTCAATATTTTTATATCATATAAAACATTATGCATTACAGACCTAAGTCCTCGCAGACTCCACAGTTGAATGAACTGTGGTCTCAAATATTGGATATTCTGAAGTATCGACTTTAAATTACAGACAAAAATCAATAAAATAAAGAATAATATTCAATTGACATCGTAAGAGTTAAAATAAAAAAAGTGTCAAAAGCCTCGGTGCTATATTACGTAAATAAAAAAAATAGGTCAGTCTGTATATTTTCATACATATAGCTATATGACACCAGGGTGCCATAAATCACTGCTAGTCTAGAATCGTTTATCATTGTTATTCATTAAACGCCATTACACAGCGTTTATTTTGAACTTATATAAAATACATCTTATTTAAAATTACATAATTATGGACACAGATCCCTTCCTCGGATGTTTTAGATACGTAGTTGCCCGTTATATATATTAAAGAAAAATAAAGCATTCATTAATAATGACATCAAAGTGACTTAAAATATAATCCAGCGGTGAACGGCACGTCTAATATGATTAACAAAATTTTAGCTCATTTGCGCCTAGACACGCTAATCAGGTCGGTCGTGTCTAGCGGTGGGTTTATTCGTATCCAATATCGGCCGTATTATATGGCGCTCTGGATTTTCATTGGTTTCTATAGAATTATTCAATTACAGCCAACATGACACGATAGGCAAGACAGGAGACCTATTGAGAAACCTAAGACCACATAAATTATGCATGTCTAATAATATATTGCGAGGGTGGCAATAAATCCAGACAACAGATGCAGTGTACGGACAGCGGACGCCCGTTCCACTTTCGGTACGATATCGTCGGAAAGAATGCGGCCAATTGCTTCAATGCGATCATGACGTCCTAGTACTTGTTTCAGAAAAGAATCTTACAACTTTCAACATAAAAACATTTTATTTAATAATGAACACCTGCTTAGAGAGAAAAAAAAAAACATCATTACTAAATATGCAAGATTCAAAGATTTTTTCTAGCTTCAATTATGATTAGTCACTGTCCTGCTAACCATTGGGTTATATCCACAATAGACTCAAGCAATCAAACTGACAATGGCATTAAAAAAAACAATATGCATATTGTGGATGTTATCATTCCAAACAAGTAAATATTGTTGAACATTGACCCGATTGTTATGGAAAAAATGTTAATTTTGTAAACAACAGCGACGATACGTGCAATTGTGTCAAAGGTATTGAATTCCTGAGAAGAATATAATAAAAATATCTTAAAAACTTAAAGAATATTACAACTAGAAAGCTACTGTGGTATCAGTTCTAGTTTAAAATATATGAAAAAGCCACCATCAATAGAAAGACAGGCACAGTACGTATTAAATTACTACTACGGTCGCCCGTTCACCAACATTCTCAGCTTACGTATGGCCTACAACTTTTTACACATTTTCAAATACATGTCTACAGGACTATCGTACTTATTGTACGGAAAATAAGAGACAATTTTACGTGAGTAATATTTCTTCGTTAGTTAGTGTATTTTGCTGGAGGTTCGCATTACGTCCGTGTAAGTTGACACTTGTATGTGCAAACAGTCGCTTCGTGGCGCAAACTTGGGAAACTATGTAAAATGAAAGGTGTCATGATATCTAAAGGGATTTAAATAACAAACTTTCATGTTTATTATATGGTTAAATTAAACTCTAGGTTGTAGTAACATCCGGGTGTAATCACTTTAGAACTAGCTGTTGCCCGCGACGTTGTCCCCATAAAATTAAAAAAAATAAAAGATATAGCCTATGTTACTCACAGATAAATTACCTCTCTAACGGTGAAAGAATTTTTAAAATCGGTCCAGTAGTTTTTGAGCCTATCCATTACAAACAAATAAAGTTTTCCTCTTTATAATATTAGTATAGATATAGCAAATTATCACTAATTAATACAAATCGAATAGTTAAAGACATTAAAAACCATCTTGTCAGTAAAATGTTAACATCGCAAGTCGGTATGTTTATCTGTTTGTAAATAAACTTAATTTAATATTATGCAGAAACAATAAGATTCGTCCATCGAAAATAGCAAAAACCCGTTTACGTGGATTTCCCTTTTTTTTTAATTTTACTGTTACGATAAATCTAAAAATAAATTGTTTATATTTTTGCGGTATACTTCATAAACAAAACCTTTTCAAGGTCATAGTACATGTGTGCTCGATATAAGTTCATTGAAAGGCAGTGCATTTTAAGTGTACACATAGTTTAGGTGATATCATCGAAATTGCACCTTGGCCTGCTTGTACACGTGCCGTTATGACTCCCAATCACCACATGACAAAAACAAGAAAAATCCTTGGACTACAATAGAACCTCGATAACTTAAAAAAATATGTTCCCTTCCCATCAGAGCCCAAAACCTCTACAACATAGACATTTGATAACTTAAAACCTCTATAACTTAAATATTATGTGTTTCCCTTGGACTTTAACTTATCGAGGTTCTACTGTACAAACATTTTACAGTTTTTGTTTAAAATTTTAAACTTTACTTAATACAAAAACCTCCGTCAAATCAATAGGCGACATTTTATGTAAATAAGAATTATGTGACTACGAATAAATAGAAATCTGATTTGAACTACCAAAATGATAATTCCGGGATTATTCCCAACTGTCACCCCACTCTGTCCCCACGTGAGAACAAAAGGTTTCATCCGTCCTACCATTTAGTACCATTATCATCAATAAGTTGACAGATAGAACCGTTATGAAACAAATTAACTTCTAACTGTCCCTTCGTCGCAAAAGGTGGGACGGATAAAACTTTTTATTCTCATCTGTTCCTACGTGGAGACAGAGCGAGGTCACGGTTGGGAATAATCCCGGAATTATCACTTCGGTTTCTACTATCCTAAACATTTGAAAAGTATTTACATCTCTTTCATTCGCATTACTTATACAGAGACAGCAATAGTTGCTATACATATGTTATATTAAAACCTTACATGGAAAATTGTTAAACGTTACTTTATACTAGCAAAACTACTAATACTACCAACTTGGAAACCTTTTTAAACCGGTACATCTAAGTCAATAAAAGTGACACTTAAATACATTTAAAGCATATAAGTTCCAAAGAATCTCACGTAATACTATGTTTAGACTTAAAACTGACTATAATCTTATTAATGTTATATCCAAGTTAAATATAGTCCGGTAAATTGACCCGGTCAGTGCTGTTATGACATTATACATTTTTAGTCCAAATCACCAACCACTAAAATTGGACAAGTTATAAGACGTAGTATTTGCTTATTGATTTTCTTCTTTTTGACGATGGTGATAATTCAAATAAATAATAGAGATAGAATCATTAAAGATCAAGAGGCGTTTAATCGGAACGAAATGTCATTTCCAAGCAATGACCTATCTATTTTTATAAATCAATGGATTTTATCTCATGTCCACCCGGCCAGGTAAGTTTGTGACCTACAATCTACATCATTGTCATGTAAAATATCACATTTATGCGACCTTTATTATAAATCATTACATCCAACGAGTTTTGCATTGAATACTGCACAGAGTAATGAGGCGGAAAGACAATAAATTTAATTGAATCAATTATTATTTATTACCATCTTAAATAATATTTTTATTGCTCTGTGACATTCTCGTATTAGTTATGCTATTCAATTATAAATTATCTTACAAACAAATTAAGGTTCATTGTATTTATTAACGGTTATTTATATCATGATTAAACTCTAATTAAGTCACATGGTTCACTAGTATACATACTAGCTGTTGCTCGCGACTTCGCCCACGTCAAAATTAAAAAAATGATAAAATACGTGACCTATGTTACACACTGATAACGTAGCTTTTTAAGGTGAAAGAATTTTTAAAATCGGCTCAGTAGTTTTCGAATTAATTCAATACATAAAAGGTCCCAAAAAAATACAAATCTTTCCTCTTTATAATACATTCACATAAAGTGAATATTTCCCCTTTCTGTGTCTTCTCCGTCATATGCACTTTCCTTTTCCACTCTAAAAAAAAAGATATGAATGGCAAGGGACTAAAATTTAGTCTGAGGCACGTAAAAAACCATTTAACGAACTATAAAATATTAGTCAACATTATACGAAGAAAAACAAGAAAATGTACATAATAAAAGCAATTTCTTCGCATCACAGAGTAATCAGTTGTGTGGGATGTTCTGACGCAAGTGATACAACTACTGGGAGGGAAAAAAATGGCGCCATCTAATAATTACCAGATTTAATATTGCTTAAAAAAATATCCATGAGATAATTTTTTTTTTTTCATATTTTACATTTGAGCTCCATTTTATATAATAAACATTTCATCGATAAGAAAAAAAATTTGCAAACAATAGATATCGAGTTTTATGAGCAGGACAAGTCACTGAACTTTTGCACGTGGGTTTCCTTCCTGTTTTCTCATTTCCAAGATTATGTACTACACATTATCAATATATTTTTAATAAGTACAAACGAACC